CCATCCACTTGAGAATATTTGTCTCTTCTCCCATAACCTTCAATCCACAATTACGCTCCCAAGCCCAATAGTCACCCCATCTGCTTTGCTAGAGAAAAGTAATGAACCTGACCGTGTCAGGGATATGGAAGTCAACAATCACATGCAGATGTCATCACTTTTGATTGACTCATTTTTATTAAAACTCAGAGTCGGATATGATATTTCCCAGAATTCAACACAGCTACTTCCTTAATCGTGAGGTATCAATTTTATGTTCCCACTGCAATCCTTTGCCATTCTTCTGAAGCAAAAACTTGCACTTGTCTCTTTTCCAGCTACCAAACATGTGGCTCACCTTAAAAATATAAAACAGAAAGGATATTCTTAAATTTATGGAGAAAATGTCTAGAGAGAAACCCATTTGTTGATACTGAAGTAGGCACCAAAGAGACAACTGAGCGAATGTGAAGAAGGCAGAAACAAAAGCGGATTTTATTTTTTTTTTTTGCAAGAACAAATTTTCCAAAAATCCTGCGCTTTTGACCTTTAGACCACAATGACTGATTTTAATGAAATTGCTCCCAGGTTGCTTAACTATAGTTGGGGGAAGAATGAACGCATATGTCTTCACTTTATATTAATTTCTAACACTGTGAGTGAGCCTAAAGGGCTGCTTCACTCCAGGCAGCGTGTACCGAAGGAAAGGGCAATCCTTGCCTCTAACACAGTGTATGTTGCTGCATTTAGTTAATCACTAATTAAACTACACTTAGTTAACAGGATTTAACTATACCTAGTTAAACTGATACAATGTTTAAAACAAACATATGGAAGTCTTGATTATACTGGTTGGGTCTGCACCAGTTTGTAACCTTCTGGTTTAGGTCTGTTTGCATCCCTTCATCCTTGGTGAGTTTGGTGAGAGCTCAGGATGCACCAGAACTGAGCAGAAGCTTTTCAACAAAATCATTTTTCAATTAACAAAGTATTTGCCAGAAACAGATTCTAGTTCTAGCTGGAACCAGAATTCCAGTTCTAGCTGGAATTTTTGGCCAGAGGAACAAAAAAATTAATAATAATTTCAGGACTCATCTGCCTCACGAGGAAAGGGACTGGGCATCTCATGCCTCACACTAATGTCTAAATCGTGCAGCACTTTGGCTTGGTGTCTGGACATGTTTGAGTAAGGAACTTTGTGCATATGGGTTCCTCTATGGGATTGTTTGTTTGCTTGGATCTCTTCTTCATCCTGCTTGAGAAGTGTCAAGTAAAGATGAACAGAACTGTTAGTGTTGGCAAATGTTAACAGCTGCCAGCTTTGATATTTAATGGGTCTGTGGGGAAGACGAAGTGCTTTCCCCTGCTCTCTTCTGGTTATGCTCACATGAGTACCTTCTGACAGTTCCTTAAATCCTGCCCAGCCCTGGTACATCCATTGTCTTGTTTTGGGAAGGTTCTTTTGACATGAACCTAGATCCCAAGGACCCAAACCTGTGAATGTAGGAAAACATCATTGCATGTGCCCTCAAACATCATTTTCTCACTTGTCCTGCCCCAAAACACACTTGGGCTTTCTGATATCTTATGTCAGAGGTAAGTGCTACTCATAAATAGCTGCAAAGGCAATTGCAGTTTCACCTGAGGTAGAATTAGGACCATTAGGTAAGTTAATTTCATCAGATCCAACCCAAACCCGTAGAAACATAAGAATATTTAACTGAAATGCCTCAAAGCATGAAGTTACTATTAATCCACAGATAGGAAAAACAAGATACGGAGCAGCCATGAGATTTGCCTGTTATTGAACCAGTCACAGATAGCTTTCACCTTGCTTACCTGCAGGCAGGAAACAAGAGTTTGAAAGCAGTTTCTTTCTAAACAAATTTAGCTCTTTTATTTTTTTATTCTTTCGCAAGATCATTCACAAATTACCTGGGAGCTGTTAGCAGTCACTAAGTAGTTGGGTGAGCAAGATCCAGCACATACTCAAATTATTTTTCAGGGAGTATTTGCTCTTCTCGCCATGGTGATCTTCCTGCCGATTGACTGGCAGGCAGAAAGCTGAGCATAAGGAACATGATGATTCCCAGAGAAGGTCTTTCCCAGTAACAAAAATGAGGTCTCCCATCGGCAAAGATTCACTATCATGTGGCGACTCAGAACAAGGGCAGAGAACACACTCCACAGACACAAACCATACACTGACATGGCCCTCAAATGAAAGTTTGAGACAAACTGAGACAAAATGAAAAGGAGACAGGGACACACCTGGATCAAGCAGCTTCTGGGAATCTTCATGACGGTTCCCATATATTGAGGTATTACCTAATATTGGGCACTGGATCACACATTCTCCTTTTATTATCTGCCTTCTGTTATGTGCTCATCAGGCACTTTGTTATGTATTACTTGCTTAATCCATAACCTAGCCACATACTTGTGATCAATTTTATTTATTTATTTTTTTCATCACAGATGCACTCCCAATCAGCTCCTCACTGCCACTTGCACAAAGTTGCTGGCAGGTTGCTAGTCCAGCATTAGTGTCCTAAAAAAACTCTCAGCCAGCTCTTGATAAACTGCCTCTGGGTTGACTGCAGATCACAGAAAATAGGGTGATTGAGAAGCTCTGATCTGAGCCTGGGACAAGCTGAACACACCTAAGTTATCTCTGGATGCTGTGTTTCTAACCCTGACTGTTTTCAGACTTCCATAGTTTTAATTTAACCTACATCCATGCTACAGAACTACTTTCCATTAAGAACAACAGGAGCTTTTTGGTTGCTTACATGTCATTTATTTGCTGGGGGATGAGTTAGGGATGTGGCTGTGAAAAGGAGGAATTTTCTGAACACATAAAGAATATTTTTTTCCATACAGTAAAAAAAAGATTCCTTAGGTTATTGAGGTCAGTGACACTCTCTGATTCCCCTTCCTCATCCATAGCAGCACCTTCCACTATTAATCAGACAGAACTGGAGATTTTCCACTTCATCCTTTCAACTTGATGAGTAGGAGTGTGCAAACATCCTTCTCTAGGGATTTGATTTCAAAGCTCTTGCAAATATTTCTTACGTGCATACTTTCACTCATTGCCAACTATTTTCTCCTTTTCTCAGCCATTCCCAGTTCAAAGTTCCCACTTTCAGCTTCTGCCTTTTTCCAGTGATCCCTGTGGTCCCAGAGTCAGTTCAGCGATCCTCCTGCCATGACTTTTCCCCAGTAAGAGAGGCTCCTTCCCACTCCAACTTTTTGCTGACTTTATTGCTTTCTTTCTGAGGAGTTTAATAGTTTTGGGGTTTGATGATTTTTTGCCCTTCTTGCCAAAATCAAAACCATTTAAATGCTCGCCTTGCCTCTCACAGTGGAAAGAACCTAGCATGTTAAAGAGTGGGTTTGGGAGTTCAAAACCCAGGCAATAGGAGGTTGCCAAAGCTTTAAAGTCATTCATCTCCAAAACAGAGGGAAAAGCAATTCTGTCATGACCTGTGTTTTATTATCCATCTCATATTTGCACGCCAGGAGGACAGAAGGGACGTTTTCTCTCTCTTGGATTGGCCAGAATAACCCACAGCACTTTTTAAAATCAATTATATTATTTAGCAGGTTTTCAGCAGTTCAGCCTGGAACTGCTGTCAGATCGTAGGCAGCAGCATAGTCAGAGACCTTGAGAAGCCCTTGGGTCCAGCCCAAGTGCAATCAAAAATACCTGTTTAATCTCTGATTGATCTTTCACTAGCCTAATCTACTAAAAATGATTTTGCTGTGTTAGACTTCAAGCCCCTCCTGCTTCTGTAGGCATCCCTTCGTGCTTTGCAGGCTGCCCAGGCAGGAGCAGTGACCTGCCCCAGCACAACACACTCTGATCTGATTTCCATTCTGTTCACCACTTTCCAAAATTCTGACTTCACTATAAACCTGGTGTAGGAAGTCTCTTGTTAACACTTCGGTTTCCTTTTGTGAAAATAAAATATACAAATATATATATATATTTAATGTTACATAGTCATGTTCCCCTATGGTTTTGTTTCAGTACCAGAGGGTTCTGAAAGGATAGGGCTACTCTTCAATATTTTTTTAAATTTATTTATTTTTTTTTCAACTGGAGCAGACAATTTTGCAGAATCTGAAAGACTGCACAGGCCAGGAAGTTAGAAAGTTTGAAAGACATGCTTTCTGAAAAGCTCAGTAAGCCTCTCCATCACTGTAAAACTGCAGGTTGAACACAGGCTTTGCTTTGCTCCTGCACAGGATGCCTGCAAGCAGATCCCCTTCATAGGGGGCAGCTACAAAAGCTGACCAGGGGTTTAAGAAAAGGGCTGACCTTAGTGATTTCTTGACCCCTTTTTCTTGTGAGTGGGAAGGAGATAGATAACATACCGGAGAGTGAAGATGCCTTACCTAGGAGGGCTGTCAGTCCCAGCTAAATGAGTGAATTGCTTCAGAGTGAATGATTCAGCCCTAGAAAGTGAAAAACACCTACTTATAAAGGAGTAAAAACACCTATTTATAAAGGTGTTTATTTTTATAATTTAAATTAAATTTATATTTATTTTGGCTCCCCTAAACAATGCTGCATCAGAGGCCTTGGATGGCCATTCTTTTTTTACTGCTCTTTGTGCCAGGTTTCAAAGTCCTGTGTTTAGTGCAATAGGTTGACCCAATTCCACTGCTGAATGGCAGCAAAGGTGAAAATCTCAGCAGTGCCACTAAGGGAAACTGTCCAGCCCCAGCAAAGCTGTCCCCATCAGCAGCCCCATCTCTCTCCGTCCTACAGAGGTGGCTGCTGCTGATGTGATGGGGCATTTAGCGGTAGGTGACTGTTCCACCTTACCCACCTACACAACAGAGAATTTGCTTGGGAGTTGACTTAGTTAGCAAGCCCAAAATATCTCCAGATATCCAGCGGTGCCTGTTTGTATACAAAATTGTCATTGTCTTACAGCCGGGAGTTCTGATAAAGGTTAATTACTTAGATAAATTGAAAAATCTATGTTCATTTACAAATGGACATAAAATGAAGTCTCAATTATTATAATTTATTTACACTGTCAACTTAGATGAAAGCATATTCAAAAATATTGCTGAAAGCTGGGGCCCTGGGGCCTGATCCTTCAAAGCCTTAACTGTGACAGTAGCTCTTGCTCCCATGGGGCAGCATTTCAGTCAAGCAAATAATGACAGATAACAACTTTTGTTTGGTGAAGAAACAAAAGCGATGTTATTTAAGAATAATGTGTGCAAATAATTCCTTCTTTGCCCAAAAGTCCTACACATTTGATTGGGAAAGTCAGGAGCATTTTTGTGCTACAGTAAATTCATAGCAAATATAAATAGACACTTCCATATATTTATTGCTCCAGAGAGACTTGTAGATGGATTTCACCTCACTTACCATACCACAAGCAAATTATGTTGAAATCCTTCCAAGATCTGAGATGATATGTTTATAAATTCTCCTTGTTGAACTCTTGGCCCCAAGTAACTTTATTATAATAAAACATTTAGGTGTTTATTTTATTTTTTTAATGCATTCTGTTTACTGGGAGAGAAATGGCAGCGGTTTGTAATTTCACATTCATCGGCTAAATTTTATGCTGCAAAACAAGCATAAAGCATAAATGCATCAAATAATAAAATAACACCCCAGTGTATCAGATATGTAATGAATTTCTGCATGTGCTGTTGTTTTCATTACGCTGATTTACAGCTGTTTTAATGTACACAGTCTTCTTAAACAACTTAGAGTTGATTGTTCTGGAACTAGACTGCGATTCAAGACAAAATACTGGACGCTTGCCATCTTTTAGGGAGGTTATCAAAAACTCTCTGGGGGCAAACAATCATGGATTAAAGAGCTTAGGTTATTCAGCATAACAATGACGTTCTGTCCACTGAACCCAAATGCAAAATATGTTGGAAGCCAAACCAACACCACTGGAGCTGGAGACAGACAAGCAGCAAGGGACCACGATGTACATGTGCGCGTCAGTGTTTTGCAAATCACACATCAACCCTGAAATCTTCATTCAGGAACTCCTGGTGTGTTCCTGGTAACTTTGCTTGAGCATATACTTCTAAGTTCACAGTGCAATTCTAGCAGTTCTGTGCATTATTTTTGTTCTTGTGCAATATTGGCAGGGTCCCTTCCAACAGCGGCACTCCCTTTGGTATGTGCAGGTGGAAGGACTCCCTGCTGACTGTCTGTCATGGCACATCTGTCTGACAGTTGTGCCAGCTCTGTGTCCCCAGTCCTGTCTGTGCTCAGCACCTCAGGAACGTCTGGGTGCCAGTTTTCAAGAGGTGGGTGCCAGTTTCCAAGTCATTGGGATGCTTCTTAACATGTTATTCAAGGATTCCTCTCCCTGATCGAAGCAAATTTGTCGTAACTGTGATTAAAGCAGATTTACCATCTTAGTGGCAAAGCTGGGGAAGCCAGGTATGAAGCAACTGGAAAACAGCCCAGGGCAAAGCCCACAAAAACTTGTGAACCTCACAACCACCACGGATTTCTCCATTAAGGGGCTCTGCCTTTTCTTCGCTGCATCACTGTCGCAGACATGCTGTCATGTAGTTCCTCTCCATGTTGTAGTTCCTCTCCATATCTCCTCCTGCTTTGTCAGGGTGTCTATGAACAACAGCCACCAAAACTGCCTGAAAAAGAGCAACAACACCTCTGGTTGATGCCTGGATCTGTCTGTTCCTGCTCAGCTCCCTCTGTTGCCTTGTACCACAGGGCGCTCAGCGTCCCCTGCACTCATCAGAGCAGCCCCAGGAGCTGCAAAAGGATAAATGCCTGTGGTGACTGTACCAGGAGGTAAAGCAATTCCAGCACCCGGCTTTGCTGCCAGAAATGTGGTTGGAATTACTGCAGCTGTTATCTCCTTTAATCTTATCTCTCTTACAGGCTCTCTCACCAGCTTCCCAGTGAGTGGTAAGGACTGTAGTAACATCAATTACACATCCATTAGCATTACCAATATCACTTTTCATGCAGCATTATCGAGACATGGATGTAGAAAATGCCAATATTTTCTTTCCCCGCACTACGTTAATCAAGCTGTATGTCGCCACATGCCCGCTCGTGGCAGAGGCTGTGGTATTTGTGCTGATTTAACATTTACAAGCCGCCAGCCTGCCCAGGCGCTGTGCTCCTCACAAACACGTGTGAAAGGCTAATGGGCTCAACTGAAAAATGTGTCTGACTCCAGTAATCTTACAAACACTTGAAACACATTAGGGTACTCACACTGCTTTGTGGACATGAGGCCTGATCCCATTCACCACCAAACTGGTGGTAAAATTCCCGCAGCCTTCCCTGAGGCCCAGCTCTGCTGGGTGGGCTGAAGGCCTGCCTTGCTGGGGAGGTGTTTCCAGAACAGCAGCACTTGCAGCAGGGCTTATTCCACCCCTACTTGTCGGGCAGGAGCTCAGGGTACATGCAAGCTGCCTCATAGATACTTAAAATTAGGTAGGACTCATCCTTCTTTCCTTTTTTTACATACCATGATGCCCTTCCAGCCTCAAGCCTGGACCCAATGTTGACTTCACCATCAGCTTCTCCTTCCCACCAGCATCACCTTGCCCACTCCCACTCACCGCAAGCAACAGCCATCCCCTTCAGCCCCATGTCCCCACACTGTCCCCAGAGTGCCACCCTCCTCTTCCTTCACCTCTCCCGGCTGCACACAGAAGGCTCAGAAAAGCAGAAGCCACGTGCTGTCCTTCTACCTCTTCATATGCTGCCATGTCGCCTTTACGGACATCTCTTGCACATCCTTGTCAGCTTTCAGGCCAGGACTACAGTGTAGGCACGTATTTGCTTAGCACCAAACGCAGCAGGGCCCTGATCCATTGCCCTGACCCATCAGCTACCCCAGCAGCTGCTACTGCTGCTGACAGAGGTTGTAACTGAGCTAGGCCATTAGCCTTTTGTTTTCCTTTAATGAGAGAGTAATTTCTGTTGACATTGCTTGGTCTAAGTGTTGGTATCCCAGTATCGTCCTCATTTCGCACTTATTTCACACAGTCCTGACACGATAACAATGTCCACTTAATCTTGCATGGAAATTCCCTTTCAGTGTCCATTGGTCTCCCCTGATTTATGCGGACACTGCTTTCTTGTGTCACTATGAACTGCTCTCCATAGATTTTCCGTGTCATTGATTTGCCATCACCTCCACAATCCAATACAATTTTCCTCCACTTGCATTTGATATTCTTGTGTTGACACCGAAGACCTGCATCACTAATATTGTATTAACATCATTCTGACATGGGAACAAATCCTCGCGCTAATAACATTTACTGATAATAACATCACCATAATGCAGTTACCAGTAATTTGTTTCCGTAGGATTCAGTCTTTGGACTTGACATCCAGACATCCTCTCCGAAGCATTTTTGTTGAGCACCCCCTGCAATGCAGTGCTCTATCTGAATGAGTAGCAAAAACTGCAATACTAATAAATACCAATAATTTGATAGATTAGATCTTCAAAGATGTTTACAAGCAAATGTTTCGGTCTCCCAATAACCTACACAAAAAATAAACTTCCCATTCCATACCAGAATAAGCCTGGAGGGTTTCTCAAGACCGCTTTATGAAAAACTAGCAGAGGATCCTTGGAGTAAGCAATAGCTCAAGGGCTATGTCAGCTATATGAGAGACCCCAAGTTCGTCCTCTCTTCTACCTGACCCAGACAGGCTCCAGATGGCTGCCCTGACCTGCTGGTCATTCCCCATGAAAGGACCTCATTTTTGTTACAGCCAGAAATTCTGGCTCAGACCCTAGCAATCTCTCTCAACAGAATTTAATCAGTACTGATATGTTCCCATGAAAAGTTTCAGTTTCAATAAATCAGCATTTTCCAAGAGAAAAAAAAAAAAAAAAAAAAAAAAAGCATCTAGTTGGAAAACTCCCAGCCCACTCAGATCTCTGCTATCAGCTACAGAAAGTCAATATTATTCTCCATCATCAGGACCGCCTCTACACTTTTTTAAGAAAGAGAAACTAAGATCCCAATAAAGGGTACACTTTTTTTTTTCCTCAGTATTTCCTGAGTGATTAAAGACCCCAGGAATTTCACAGGACCAGTGATCCAAAGTCACGTGTAAGCTTTCAAAAACGCCACCCCAAATCCATCATTCTGAAACCTGAGGTTAAAAACACAGTAAAAGCTAAATGAAACCTTGTTGAGGACCACACAACAAGAACATACTGTCCAAACAGTAATAAGAAGAGAAAGTTTTGAGCCCTTCTAGCTAAGGTATGGGTCAAGAAGTAAATCCAGGCCCTTCTGCAAGCCATGCTGGTGGAGACTAGCTCTTTTTCCCCAGCCATGGAGCATCTCATTTGCCAAACCTATATGAACTGCCTGAAGCCACAGCTGGGGCCAGCACCTGGTGCCTCAGGTGTCTCTTAGCAAGCTCTGCCTCAAGAAGGCTCCTTCAGGCTCTGCTAGCAACAGCTAAGGATGAAACGGCTCCACTATATTTCCCATTAACAGCAGACCCAATGTATCCCAGTACTTCCAGTAGCAAACCTTACATATTTGTAGCTGACACAGAAATCTGGGGGAAAACTAAAGGATTTACTGAGTTGTCCCTGGCTGCTGTTCTGCTTGCAGAGGCAAACAAAATATTCACCAGAAAGCATTAGGAAAACTCAGTATTAAATTGTCATTTTGTCAATAAAACATCATTTCATCAATAGAATATCCAGGTGGCCCGAATGTTTCTGCATAATTAATTCTCCTGGTGCATTAAGGAATGTTGTACACAATATTAATCAAAAAGCACTGTCAATATAAGGACCATATATAAACCCAGCTAAAAAACAACAAACCTGTTTGAAAGCTAAGCTTTCTTTTTTTTTTTTTTTTCTTTTCTTTTTTTTCCCAAGATGACCCTTCAATCTAAGGGAGATGTGGATGCTGCTATCAAAAATGCAATTAAGAAAATAGCACGGTGGTCCCTGGAACCAAGAGGGCAACTGAAATTTTTGCAAGCATTTTGTTTAGGTCCCCAACCCTTTTCCTTATCAGCAGGGCTTTGCTGGGACCTGGGCTTAGCTGTAGCTTCTGATACATTAGAATCCCTGAGAGCAGAGCCTAGGAGAAAGAAGAATTTGTGGTTCTTGGAAAATCCTATGATTTGGGCATTTGTGTTTGCTCTGAATAAAAGAATAAAAATAAAAAGCAAAATGTCACAAAACTTCCTGAGAAACTCTGGATTTGGAAATATCTCACCAAGGCAAGCAAATCATTTTCTCTCGGTTTGGATTGAAATCTTTGACCAAGGTGATTTTTTTTCTAAAGTCACTTGCAGTGAAAAGAGAGCATTGCAGCCCAGGACTGTCAAAAATTCCCCTGCGAGCCCCAGTGAGCGCTGTTAATTCTCGCAGGGCTCTGCCGCTGCCCGCTCCCTGCCGAAAAAGCCCCTCGCCCCCATGTCCCCTTCCCAACCTGCCCCCTGCCCTTCCTCATCCTCATCCTCCCCATCCCTAGCCCCAGCCCCTGAGGCTTTAGCATCCCTTTGCTCTCCGCAGGGGAGGCACAAAAGCAGCCGCAGGGAGGGAAGGAGCATCCTTGGATCCTGAGCAAAGGCAGACGCGGGGAAATGGAGCTGGGGATGCTGCGGAGCTCACGGGGGAGCCGCTTTGGAAAGTTTTATGATTTGGCCAAAGGCTGGGTTTGTGGGATCGATGACAGGAGGTGTGCCCCCGTGCCAGGGGGACCTGATCCAGCCCCAGCTGCGGCTGTAAATCAGCTCGGTGGGTGTGCGAACACCCTCCCTGGGAAGGCTTCAAGGCAGGCGAGACGGTGCCGCTGGTTAGCTCTTAACCTCTTGCTTGGAAATGGCTCAGCCCTTTGGGGAAAAAAAAATAAAAAATAAAAAAATAAAAAAAAACAGGCAGATATTTTAGCTCAGGAATTTCAGCCCCCATTCACTTTTGGTGGAATCAGAAGCCAGGAAAGCCAGAAGGGATATTTTAGGCATATTTGTTTGCAAACAGCAGTGGCAGCCCTGCCAGCAGCAGCGGTTATTCAGGCAGGGCGAATCCAGCCTCCCGCTCCCTCCTCAGAGGGACGCCGTGGCACAAGGCTGAAGGGAACGAAGCAGCAGGATCTGCTGGAAATATTTTGATTTTTGTCCTCATGTATCAGAGGAATGTCACAAAACTTGCAGTCGTTTTATTTGCTCGAATCATTCTAGCAATCAGCAGATCTGCATGACCAAAGCAAATCAGTTCCGAGCCTAAAACGAAGCAACCAGTTCTGGAGTGAATAATATGAACTTTAAATGATTTTCTAGCCTTCTATTTATTAAGACCACTTTCTACAGAATTTTCATCAGAGATGTTACTAAATTCCATTACCTTATTGTGATTATCTCCTACCCTTAACATAGGAAAATTGATGCTACAATGTTTTCTCTCCCCAGAAAATCAGAGGTGCCACAACAAGTTGCCATATTCTGCACAAATAAGCCAGTAAAGCAAAGAATCCACTCAGACTTATCTATTTTATTTGTATTTTATATTTTCCGTGTGTCTGCATTTTAAATGTATTTTAATGTAAAGGTTAATGGAGTTTTAATAAAGGGCAGATGGCTACTCTAATTGCAGAACACCCAGCATACTCTTTTAAAAACCTCTTTAGCTGGCTAGACAGATATTAATAATTCTGAATGCCATTAGAAAAAGCAGAGGTTTGAAACAAATGATTCTTCGAAGTTAAATTTATTATTAAACCAAAACTGCAATCGTTGCATGCATTTTGCGAAGAAAAATTGTATTATCAATATATTTCCCATCAAGTGATCCCGTGAACTCTTTATTATCTATTATCTATAGCTAAATTATATATACTAAAGCACCAAACGTTGAACTTTCCATTATATATTGTTTCGTACCCAGATGACAACTTTCAGCCTGTTTTTATTTTAATTTCCTAAACACTTCACCAGTCGTGCAGCCTCCTCCCTGCTTGGATCTTTTTCTGCAAGAGCGTGGCTCCTGGGCCACATAGCATTATGCATGCACATCACAATCCCTGGTATGTGTCTTAAAAAAAAAAAAAAAAAAAAAGGAAGAAAAAGGAAATAAAAAGCATGAGCTATTTTGCACTGGGCCCCACGCCAAGAAGAGCCTCCTTGCCTCCAGAAAAATACAGTGAAAGCAAACCATGTCCACGAATGCCTCCCGAGCAGCCAGCTTGCTGGGCGTGGAAGGTGGCCAAATGCTGTGTGGGGATGAAGAGCCCCAGGTACCAATCCCGTGGGCTTTATGGCCAAAATAATAGGATTTTTTAAGCCTTCAGAGCCTGGTGTTTCAAAGTCCCTGGGTCAGATTAAGCCCTCAGTAAGGAGCAGAGTCCCTGTGCTGGAAGTGCAAGAGGCACAGAATTACTCCAGGATTGCTGCAGGACCCCATGGGGCTCGCAGCCCCCTGCTCTGATGCTTTTGATGATGCTTTTGGGGTTTTCTGCACCTCCGACAGCAGAGCTCATCCCAGCACGCCTCTCCTCACCGACAAAGAAAGGAAGGAGTGAGGCACGGACTAACCCCGTAACACCTGAAATAATTTAAACCGGACAGCAATTTTCTGCTTTGGAAATAATTTCTGTAACCTCTTCCTGCCCCCGCCGCAGACCCCTCCGCACAAGCCCATGTTCACCATAATCATCACCATCGCCCTCTGAAATTAGCAGTTACATTAACAAGGTTTTGAAATATGGGCTGGAATGCGGTTTGGGGCTCTGCAATGGAATAGAAGTAAGTTTTATATCATTTTATGGACGGACATTAATCAATGCTAAATCACAATGAGAGTCTTATGGAATCACATCGTGCAATCTCCTAAATCGCGAGCAGCTTGCCGTGATTGATGTCCCTCCGACGACATTTGATAGGATTAATAGTGGGAGCGGTCCACATTTAGATTTTACCATGTTAGGTGCTTTCTCTGAGCCAGCCTTGGATGGGAGGGACCTTTGGAGCCCGGGCCAGGAAGCAGTAGTTTTTGTCACATTATTAATCTGCCCTTATGATTCATCTTTTATCCTTCCTGACATTTATGTCGTTCCTCTGACATGCACGTTGGAGGCCCAAATGCTCCCAGAACTGAGTGACGTGAAGGCAAGGGGAGTCTTCGTCTGCCTCCTGAATAGGTGGCAGGTATCGCACCCTCCAGCCATGTGGAGCTGTCACGTCACCAAAATTTCCCTCAAAAACCAAGAGCAAGAAGCCTTTGCTGAGGGAAGAGGAGGTTGCAGGTCTACGTGGAGCCTCTGCAGGGCTGGAGTCTGGGGCCACCTGAACCTCCAAGAGCTGCAGCCCCAGCATCCCACCAGGATGCTCCTGTCTGGATGGGCCGAGTGACATGGGGTGGGTTGGGGATGGCGAGGCACAACTGCTCGCTCCCAGCTTTCCTGCAGCCCCAGGGGAAGGTTCAGCATCACCCCAGACCTGGCTGGGAGGTGACTTCTCCACCCCAGGTGTTTAAGCACAAGCTGTGACGGGCCACCAGGACAGCCCAGTGGGATGAGGGATGTCCCAGGTATCTGCCACAACCACTCAGGCCCTGGGGACAGGGCCAGCCCTGCCCACAGGACCCCAAAATTGGGACTGGCAGAGCATGCGGCTGCTCTGCACCAGGGGCTGGATGGCCCAGGTGTATGTGAAGCAGCAAGGAGACCCCATGTCCTTTAGGACAGCCCTCAGGGGAGGGGACACGTCCCCAATCCCATCCACCTGGGGGGTGCACAGAGCACCCAGGGGCGCTGGCACAGAGTAGGAGCGAGCTTTTCCCCAAACAGCGCTGTTCCTCCTCAAAACCACCCGGCTTTGGTGGTTTATTTCATTTATTTTTCTGGCGGGGACCGTGCGGAAATTCGGCGCAGTGCCGGCGCACGGGGCGGTGCGAGCCATTTTCAGACGGCGCCCCGCTGCGAGCCATTTTCAGACGGGCTCCCGGTCTTGCGCGGGGCGCGCAAACTCCCCGCGGTGCTCGGGGCTGATGCTTAAGACGTATGGAGAGAGGAGTAGTTAAAACCCGCATTATACAGCTCCGCCGCGTCGAAAATCGCGTGCGCTGACCCATATATTTTAAACCCGTAAACGGACTCCAGTCGTTTAAAATATTGCAACGTCGATAGGACTAATTAATTGGGAATAAGGAACGCGGGGATACAATTAAACGAGGAGAGAATCATTTTCTAATTTAATAGCGGGGCATTTATAAAGAGCGCGAGCTGAAAAGGCACCGAGCGATCCCAGCGGCGCGGCGCTAAATCAGCGCAGCCCGGGGGGGGCCGGGGGGGGCCGTGCGCCCCCGCGCAGAGCCGCGGAGCTGCGGGTGCCCCCCGGCCGCAAACACTGCGCGATTTTATTAGCCCCCATTTCCCCGGGGTAATTTATGGCGATAAAACAGACACCCGGGGTCCCCTTAAATTGTCTTTTCATAATGAATAAATTTAAGGCGGCTAATTAATATATAAACTAAGCCGATTTGTCAGGTTGATTTGTATTTTAGTTAATTGTGAAAGTAATTACCACACGGGCAAATTAACAGCTTTCTGGAAATGACCAAGGCTGGGGTTTTATTTCCTTCCTGGGTGAAGAAAATTCATTTTTCCCAGCTCTTGATGTGATGAATAAAAGCCATAAATCTGGGTGATTGGTGCAGGCAGAGTCTAAATGGCTTCATATTTCATTTTAGGTTTAATAGAAATATTCATGCTCTGTTTTAATGAAATTAAATTGGAGGGGGGTGGACTGCGAGGCTGGCGGTCGGGGCTTAAAGGGGCAGCGCAGATGCGGTGGGCTTTTTGTTGGCTTTTGGCGGATGAGGCGCTCGCTGCTCCAGGCAAAAACCTGATGCGAGCAGCCCAAATAAAAGTAAAATTGTCGCTCGAAGTTATCTGAAGAGAAGGTCCAACGAGAGCCGGCCAAAGGTTTGGAAGTCGGCTTGCAGAAATTAAATATATATAAATTAAAAAGCGGCATAAAGAAAACAGCCTGGCTGCTCAGTGCAGGGACGGCTTTCTCCCCCAAAAATGAACGGGTGAGGTGCAAAGAGGATGGGAAATCTGGCAGGGGGCTGGCTGAGCATCCTTTCTTTTTAGGGTCACCACCCCGGAGGATGCTCGGTGCCCTGCTGCTGCTCGGGGCCCTGCTGCCGGGGGGTGACACGGCCGAGCCCGAGCATGGGGGACCCCTCCGGCCCTACGAGCACCACGGGGCTGTCCCGGGCTCCTTTTCTCCCTTTTGGGGCTGATGCCGAAGTTTGCGGGCATCCCAGCGGGGGCCCTATGCCGGGAAGGGGATCCTAATGGATCCGCCGCGCGACTTGTTGATTTCCCCCGAGCAAATCCGGCTTTGATGCAGTCCCAGCGAGAGCGGTTAGCTGATGAATTGACAAAAACTAATCAGCTTTATTGGGAAACGGGTTAAGGGCAGCGGAGTGTCAATAATTCTCCGCCTGACCCCCTCATCCATTAAGGGAGGCAGGCTGATTAGAGCGAGGAGCCCCCGTGCTTTTTGCACCGAAATTGCTTTCATAAACTCACCATTATTAGCAGTCAAGGCGAGCAGCTAATTTAGAGGAAGACATCCCGAGGATGTCACATCTCGCAGGGAGGTTTATGTATCATTAGCTCATTTACACAATGTCGCGGCGTAAGATGGGCTTTTGGCAATAAGGCTGGCCCCGCGCCCGCGGGTCGCATCGGCTTTGTAGGGACCGGGGGGGGCACAGGGGGGACACAGCCGCATGCTGACCCCCCCCTTGCACCGGTCAGGCTGTTTCAAAAGGCGAGATAGGGATCTGTTTGCCGGGGGGGCTGCTGAAAGGAGACCACCCGGAGGTGTCCGGGCAGCGCGCTATCTGCGCCGAGATAACCGCGCATTGTTGGGGCTGGATCAACACAGGTGCGGGAGCGCGGCCCTCCCTGCACGGGCTGCGGGAGCGGCGTGGGAGAGCACACCGAGGGGAAAGGGGGAGAGAGGGGGAAAAGGGGAAAAATAAGGAAGAAAGGAAAAAAGGGAGAAAGGAAGAAGAAAAAGGGGAAATGGAAAAAAAAAAGAGTAAAAAAGGGAAAACGAAAAAGGGAAAAAAGGAAAAGGGAAAAGGGAAAAGAGACAAAAAAGGAAAAGAAAGAAAAACGAAAAAGAGGAGAAATTAAAAAAAATAAAAAAGGAAAAAAAAAAAAAAAAGGAACAAATGTAAAAAAAAAAATAAAAAAAGGAAAAGAAAAAAAGGAAAAGAAAAAAGGAAAAAGGAAAATGAAAAGAAAAAAGAGAAAAGAAAAAAAAGGAAGAAAAAGGAAAAAACAAAAAAAAGGAAAGAAAAAAAAAAGAAAAAAGGAAAAGTTAAAAGGGGAAATGAAGAGAAAAAAGAGAAAAGTAAAATGGGAACAGGAAAGAATGAAAAGGAAACGGGAAAAGAGAAAAAGTGAAAAGGAAAAAGTGAAAAGGAAAGAGGGAGAAGTGAAAAAAACGATAAAAGAAAAAAGTGCAAATCAAACAGAGAACGGATAAAGGGAACAAGGAAGGCGAAAAAAAAAAAAAAAAAAAGAAAATAGAAAACGGGATAAAAGGAAAAAAGAACAGGAAAAAAGGAGAAAAGGAAAAAAGAAAAAGAGGGAAAGAAAAAAATGAAAAGAAAAAATGAAAAGGGTGGGAAAACATGAAAAAAAAAAAAAAAAGAAACCGAAAAGTGTTCAATTAGGAAAAAAAAAAAGTGGAAATCGAAATTCCTCTCTGAGCACGAGATGTGCTCCCCCCCGGGCGGGAGGGCAGGGGGCAGCGGCCGGCCGGCCCCGGCGGGGTGGGAGCGGCCGAGGGGCAGCGGGGGCCGGGGCTGGGCCGGGGGCTGCGGGGGCCGGGGCTGCCCCCCCCCGGGTACCGCAACGCTGCCGGCCCTTGTCCTGCGGCTCCCTTCCCTCTTCCCCCCCGCGAACTGCACCCCTATTATTATTATTATTATATTATTATTATTATTATTATTATTATTATTATTATTATTATTATTATTATTATTATTATTATTATTACCCCAAAGCCCCCCCGCTCCCCCATGCGCGGTCCCCCCGCTGCCATCCGCCTTGGGGTCCCGGGAGGTGACAGCCGTGTCCTAGGGGGGGTCCCGACCCAGCACCCCCTGGCTCAGGACCCCCCCGAGCCCTCTGCCGACGGAGCGGTCTTGAGAAGGGGAGCAGGAAAAAAAAAGCCGTGGGACATTTCGTTGTCGCCTTCGTGGTTTTTTTTTTTTTTTTTTTCTCATTTCCCTTTTTTTTCCCCCTTTTTCCTTCCCCGTTTTTGCTCCCCCCTCACAAAGGGAAGCGGGGGCCGGGGGTCGCTCCCTGCTGTCGGGGGCAGCCCCGCCGCCCCTGGACGGTCCCGAGGGAGTGGGGTGACAGGGTTGGGGGTGTCGCATGGGGTCGGGGATGTCGCACGGGCACTATAAGGTTTTGGGGCCGAGAGTAAACCGGGGCGCACCGGGGGCTCCCCGCGGCCGCCCCCCCGGGGGAAACGGGACCCATGCGGGGTGGGGGGAGACCCCCTGACCCCTCTCTTTCCCTTTTCCCGTGGCTGTTTGTGCTGGATTATCGGCTCCCCCCCCCACACACACACTCTTCAGCGAGGCGCATTCTGGTGGCAGGCATGACTCCCTGACCCACAGGTGTTTATTCTTTCCAAACTCCTCCAAAAGCGCTTGGCGGCGCGTTTAGGGCAAATATTTACCGTGTGCGAGAAGGGGAGGGGAGAGGGGGGGGGAATAAACTCCTCAACACCTCGCCGGGACCCCCGGTGAGGGCAAAAAACCCCACGGGGCGAACCCCCCAAGAGCCTCCCCCGTCCCCTCCGACGGCGCTTTCTGGGGGACCTGTGGGGGGGCTGCGGGGCCGTGCCGTCGGGGGGGCGAGGGAAAGGGGGGTAGGGGGGGCTCCGTGACAGGTGCTCGGCGGGGCCAATAGCGGGCTCGGCCTCCCGGCGCCGCCAATGGAGGCTGCAGAGCCTCCGGCCCAATGGGAGCCTGCTGAAGGCCCTTGTAGGGTCGCACCGCCCAGCGCGGCCCCACAGCCGCCCCGCTGCCCGCCGCCGCCGGGAGACGCGGGCCCGGCCGGGGGCCGCCCGCCCGCTGCCGTCCCAATTCCCCCTTTCCCCCCCCCCCCCCCCTTTTTTCCTCCTTTTAAAAATCCTCCCCCTCCTCCCGGCATCGTCGCCGCCCGCTGCCGGTGCTCCCATGGAAAAATCCAAAAATTTCCGCATCGACGCGCTGCTGGCTGTCGACCCCCCCAAGGCGGCGGCGGTGGGGGCGCAGAGCGCTCCGCTCGCCCTCGTCGCCTCCTCGCTGGGTGGCAGCGCGCCGCGCGGCTCCAGCAGCTCCAGCAGCTCCAGCGGCAGCCCCCCGGCTTCCTCCTCGTCCTCCTCTTCCTCCTCTTCCTCCTCCTCCTCCTCCTCCTCCTCTTCTTCCTCCGAGCAGCAGCAGCAGCAGCCCGCCGCCGGCCCCGCCGACCGCCTCCGCGCCGACAGCCCCTCGCCGCCGCCGCCGCCCCGCATCCTGGCCGCCCACTGCGCCCTGGTGCCCAAGGGGGGGTTTTTGGCTTCCACCAGCGGCCACCCCCCGCACCACGCCGGGATGGCGCTGGGACTGCACCCCGCGGCCCCCGGGGGGCCCGGCATGCCCCCGCAGGCGGCCCTATACGGGCACCCCATGTACGGGTACTCGGCGCTGGGCGGGCAGCACCCGGCTCTGTCCTATTCCTACTCGCAAGTGCAAGGGGCGCACCCGTCCCACCCCGCCGCCGACCCCATCAAGCTGAGCGCGGGCACCTTCCAGCTGGACCAGTGGCTGCGGGCATCCACGGCCGGCATGATCCTGCCCAAAATGCCCGATTTTAACTGTGAGTATCGCCTTCCTCAGCCCTAACCCCTCCGCAACCCTAATATCCATCCCCCCGGACCCCAGCTCCCGGCTCTTAGGGTTTCAACCGCGAGTTTCAACCTGCGTTATATTATTGTTAATTTTTATTAAAAGGAGGAAACAGCCATCCGCAAGGGATGCCCGTGTCGCCTCCTTATCCCCTGTCGCCCTCCAGCTCGGTTTTTTAGGGCGGCTCAAACGTGACGGCTCGCAGCCCATCCCCACTGAGCAGCCCATCCCTGGCTTCCCCCAAAACGCGGGTCCTGACCCCCCAGCCGCTCTTTATTTTATTTTTCTTTTCCCGGCAACGGGCTGAAAATAACCGCGGCGCTCACCCCTATGAACGGGTGTAGGGTTAGGGGTCAGCAGGGGCTTAGGGTCCCCGGGGGGACGAAGGGACGGGGAATAACGAGGTCGGAGCGGTTCGGGACGGGGGGCTGGGGGCTCTGGAAATGCTGCACGAAATCTCCCCAGCCCCAAATCGCAGCCCCAGCAGCAGAGCAGCTAGGCCTCACGGAGACGGGGACCTTTCGTGCATCTGTTTTAGGCACAGATCATTTCCTTAGGTGTGAGCTCTCAGCGGGGACGGCCGGTTTAACAATACCGGAGGTGTAGTTTTACGAAAATCGTGCCAGGAAAAAAAAAAAAAAAAAGAAAGAAAGAAAAAAAGAATTGGGATGTGTTTTTTTTTTTTCTTACTCTGCACACGTTCGCAGACAAAAAAGTCCATTGTTTTCTTTCGGATTGAGGTTGTTTGGGCTGGAACATTCAGGAAGAAAAAAAATAATTAGGGGAGCTGTCAGAGCCCTGCTTCTCAAACAAGGCGCAAGGGGGAAGAAATAAGCGGGGAAAATCACACGGCGGTGACAAAATCCCATCCACGCTCCCGTCTGCGAGCCGGACACTGCCCTTTTCTCTCCGTGCCCTCTTCGGGAGCCTGGCCCCAAAAGCGGCCGGGCAACCAGAGCATTTTCTTCGGTCCCAAATCAAATCAAACGAAACCCCAAAACGCGCCGGGAAGCGCGGGCACGGCCGGGGCGCGCCCCCGGGTGTCGGAGCCCTGTGTCCATCCATCCACCCCCCCCCCCTTTTTTTTTTTTTGGATAAAATCCCATATTTGATTTTTTTCACGCGGAAAACACACCGATATATATATATATGTATATATATAGTATGTATATATATATAGTGTATATGTATATTGCGTATCTATGTATTTTAATTTATATATTGTATATTAATTTATATATCACATATTAATTCATATACTATTTTTTACCATTTATATTTATATATAAAACGCATTTTTCGTTCAAAGGCAGTTTCCCACCCTTCGCCGCTCCCTTCCCCGCTGCAATCCCGTTAATTACAGCCGGGGGGGCCGGGAGGGGGCTGCGAGCGCGGTGGGTTTAAGCGGAGCCGCGCATCCCACGGAGCGAGCCGCGACCCCCGGCTGCCTTTTATCGCGTCGCCCTTGGGCTCTGGGGAAATCAAAGGGCAGATTTTTATTTTTTTTATTATTATTTTTTTCTTTCTGGCTTTTTATTTTTCATTCCATTCATTTCATCGCAGGCATCCCCTGACACCTCCCTACCCCGCGTGGCGCGTCGGGTCCCCTCTCCCCTCTCCGTGCGCTCCCCGCCGGTGTCCCCCAGCATCCCCCCGACGGCTCCCCCATTTCTTCCCCCTCCTTACCCCGGCTCTGCTCTCACCCCCGCGGTTCCCCCCGCAGCCCAGGCTCAGTCCAACCTGCTGGGGAAGTGCCGCCGGCCCCGCACGGCTTTCACCAGCCAGCAGCTGCTGGAGCTGGAGCACCAGTTCAAGCTGAACAAATACCTCTCCCGGCCCAAGCGCTTCGAGGTGGCCACGTCGCTGATGCTCACCGAGACGCAGGTGAGACCCCGGGGGTGGTGGTGGGGGGAACAGTGGGAAATAGGGGAGCCGTCGGGGCGCCGTCGAGTGGCCGGGGCTGAAGCCCTGCCCCAAATTTCTCGCTCCCCTCCCTTCCCAGGTGAAGATTTGGTTCCAGAACCGGCGCATGAAGTGGAAGCGGAGCAAGAAGGCGAAGGAGCAGGCGGCGCAGGAAGCCGAGAAGCAGAAGGGGGGAGGCGAGGACAAGGCGGACGAGGAGCTGCTGCTGCCCGCCCCCGACAAGAGCGGCGGGCGGCGGCTGCGGGAGCTGCCCGACAGCGAGCCCGACGACGACGACGAGGAAGAGGAGGAGGAAGAAGCCGGCAGGTGCTGCCCTTACCACTCCTCCGACTGCTCCGAGGCGGACGAGGAGGACTCGCAGCCCCGGGGCCGGCACGGAGCCCCCCCGCTGGCCCCCACCCAGCCCCAGTGAGCCCCCGGCCCCAGCTCCCCGCCCGCCCCGTCGGGGCCGCCCCCTCCCCAAGACACCCCCTTTTATTCCGTTTTCTCCCCGCTTGGAGGGGGATGGAGAAGAGGATCCCCCGTGTGCCGGGAGGGAGAAGGAAGATTTGCGGTGACCACAGTGTTATTATTGACTGAAAAGCAGACAAAACTTGACCCCCCCGCCCCCCCAAGTCCCAACCCTCCGTTCGCTGAGTCTTGGAAATGGTTTTGTTCTGACTATATAGCGGGAAAACTGGTTATGTCCTGAACGTTAAAACTGCTGGAAATCTCGATACCGTCTTTATTTTTGTATATCGTATTTATAAAAAATAAGAATAATAATAATTGCCTCTACTTATGCATGCTAAATTATTACCTCCCCACCCCCCCCACCCGCGCGGTGGGGCGGAAAATAAACGGCGTTTTGTACTTGAGACGTGTCAGGGGTCTTGGGGGGGTCGGGGGGGGGGGGGTAGGGAAGGAGCGGGGCCGCGGTTTCCAACCCGAGCTTCCCCCGAGTGGCATGGACGGGGGGGTGCCCGGCGCAGTGTGCCCCCGCCGTTTCCCTCCGGGGTCGTGTGGGGGGGCAAAGGGCTCAGCGCCGTCGGGGAAGGGGCTCCAGTTTCTTCTTTCGACCACTGTGACCTCCCCGTCCCTCCCATCCGGATGAGAGGGGTGCGAAGCGGCTGCGCCCCCCCCTTTTTACACCCCTTTGCCCACCCCTCCCTGCCGTCGGGGCTCCTCTCGCCCCCTCCCGCAGCACCCGGGGACCCCAAAGCGGGGCACCCCCCAGCGGGGAGCAGCTCCCCTTTGCAGGATCGGCCTTAATTAAGGTTTTGCAAACGAGCTGCAGGGGGCGAAGGCCCCCCCCCCAGGGCTCTCCCCGACGTCGATGAAGGGCCCCCCCCAGACGGCCGCAGCCGCCGCCCCGGCATTTAGCTCGCCAATAAATCGGCGGATCCATCCGTCCTTGTCACGGCGGCTCTCCCCCAAATCAATTACGGGGAATTTAAATAACATCACCGGCTCAGCCCCGCCGGCTCGGGGCCACATCCCGCAATTTATCCCCGCTAACAACGGAAGCGCAAAATGCGCGCAGCCAGGGCGCAGCCGCTTGTACCGGGGTATAAAGAGCTCCGAAACGCGGCCTGTCCCCGCTCCCCCACTTTCAAAAATCATCATTATTTATTTTTTATTATCTAATTATTATTATTTAATGATTATTTTTTATTTTTTTTAAGGCAGCGTTTTGCAAGCCCGCGCCAACCTTTCCAAGGAGAGCTGCGCGGCCCCAGCTTCTCTAAAAATCCCGCTTTGAAACCCAGCCTGGAGCACGCAGGGGGCTTCGACCCGGAGATAGCACGGAGGAAAACACCTCCCCATCCCGGAGAGCTTCAGGTGCTGCCGCTCGGAGCTGGGCTTTAAGGCACGACCCGGTTATTTATGGGTTTACCGGCCCGGCACACCCAGTGCGCCGCGGGACTACGCCGTAAATCACAGCCGCGCACAGGGGAACCGTAAATCTGGCCGGATCCCGTGTGTCGGGAACCTGATCAGGGTAAACCCGATTTAGGCTTGATCGATGCTTGCCCCTCTTGCAGGGAAACAATCGTGTTGCGGGCTCGGGTTGAAATCCGTAACGCGGTGTCCTTTCGTTCACAGGCCGCGGGGTTTGGAGAATTTGAAGAGAGAAGGGGGAAAAGGGAGGGCAAAAAAAAAAAAAAAAAGGATTGGAAGAGGTATGGGTCGCTTCGTGAATTTCCACGCTGCTGGCTGCGGCTGCATCTGCCTTGGGGGGGCGGCTGCGGCTCCCCCGCCCCTAAAGCCGACGGCGCGTCCCGGTGTCACCGCTCTCTGCCCCTGAAAAGAGCCGAAACAAGGCAATCCCCGTCGTTATCTCCCCCAAAATCATCATCGTCATAACCAAGAGCGAGCTGAGGTCACCCCTCCAAGAAATATCTCGCCTCAGCCATTAATTTCCAATTAAATCCCGCTAATTAAAGTGGCCGGCATGCGCCGTCGGGCCAGGATGCGCGGAGATGTGTGTCCAGACGTGAGAAATCGCCTCGCAGGGCACAGGCAGCCGGTCCTGGGCTCCGTATCAAAGCCCTACCGGTGTTTTGTGTCTGTCTCAATAAAATTAATCTCTTTAAAGCCCGGCCTCTCACAAGAATACCTTCAGTGTTCCAGACTACAAGGGCAAATATGTTTTTCAGATTCTGTTTTTATGGACGGATTAAAGTTTATTTTCCATAATAGGGCACCTAATAAAACTCATAAAGCTCTGTCAGTCTTACAGCTGGTGGCCTCATTTAACACTTTCACTTCGTAAATCATTTTACAGCTTACCAGGTGTTTCCAAAACCGGGAGGGGAGGGGGGGCCGGGAAGAGAGCAAGGAGGGGGGAAGGAGAAATTAAGCTCGCTGAAAATACAGTTCGGCTCCCTTTGTGGTGGGTGCGTTTGTGCTGTTGTTTGGAAGGGCTTCAAAGAAGGTGTCAATCCCAATAGGGGAGAAAATATCTTTAATCAGGCTTTCCCACGGTCTTTTGAAGTGGTGGGGTTCACGTGCGGGACGGGGAAGGTTCACAGTGTTGGACAGGGACTGGTAATGGGTGCTGTGCTCCTGCAACTGGACCCAACATGCACCCAGCTGGGCTTAGCAGCACTGCTGGTGGTGGTGCTGGTGATGACAGTGATGGTGGTGCTGGTGGTGATGTTCTTGGTATTGGTGGTGATGGTGCTGGTGGTGCTGGTCATGGTGGTGGTGGTCCTGATGGTGGTGGTGGTAGTGCTGGTGGTGGCAGCAGTGCTGGTGGTGGTGGTGCTGGTCGTGGTGGCAGTTCTGGTGGTGGTTCTGGTGGTGATGATGTCCTCAGCACTGTTAGGGCCAGTGTGGCTTTATCCTCCCCCATCTGGAACTGCAGCAGGCAGTCTACGCTCAAGGAGGCCCTTTGGGGTTTTGTTGCCACACTTGAGGAGAGGAAAGCACCACCTTGGGTGGACGTTTACCTTGGAAAAACAACGTGGTTTCAGCATGGATGTCATTAACTGGCAATTCCACGAGCATTAAGTGGGAAAACAAAAGAACCAAAATCGGAGCCATATGCTTGAGGTAAACCTGCGAAAAGTCTTTCAAATGGGAACCCATAAATATATAATCCCCCTCGAACTCTCCACGAAACCTCTGGGGATGAAATACTTCACTAGCAGAGAGCCTGTTGATGATTTCTAAAGTCCAAACTCTCGCATGCATCTACAGCTAATGGATTAAGTCAGTTTTTCCTCCAGGGCTTGGGAGGGCCCTGCCCCCCAGCCTGGCCTCCTGCTGAGCCCCTTCCCCTTTATGCCAGGAGGGCCACGAGGAGGGGGCTGTGCCCCAGGGCAGAGGATCCCAGCCTGGAGCCTCTTCTGTTTCAATTTGGCTTTTCCTTCGTGTGCTGTGGGTGCTGGGTTAGCTCCACAGTGCTTCAAATGTAAGAGCAGAAACAGTCCTGGGGCCTCCTTGTGTGGAAATGGAATCACCACTTAGGATTTAGGAGGCCAGAGTGATCTTTAATTAATTCAGTATTTGAAATTATTATCCATAGGACCTCTGTCAATGTCCTTGGCCAGCTTTTGGCAGGGTGGAAGCCCCTGGTGGGGACGGAGAATCCTTGTCCCCATCCAGCCCCGCAGGTGCCACTTCCCTAAAAATGAATGTAAGGCAGCCAGCACGGATTTTAACCCAGGAACAGGGCACGGGGTTGACCCCAACGTGGAACAACACCTCAGGGAATAGGATGGGATGTCCATCGCTGGGTATCCCTGGCTGCCCTCCCTGGGGAAGCCAGCCCTGGGGGCTCCTTTCCGCCGTGTGATCGTGGCTGGTGGAGCACGGAGGGCTGCACGGACCAGCTAATGGCTCGTTCCGGACTTAAACATGATGAATCTATAAAGCACACGTTGCTGTAGCAGCTAGGTGCAATTTTAGAAATGTTAATGAGTAATTACATAAAGGTTGTCCACAGTCAGTGATGTTAATCACTGTTCTTTTGCCAGGGATAATTAAGACAGCAATTCAGCAGCGTAAGCCAGCGCTTCCTGCTGTCTCTGCTGCCTCTTTCTCTCTTCCCAGCTCCCTGCTCCTGCAGGGATTTTCTTGCCTTCCCTCCCTCCTCCCACGCTTTTAGCCCCAATCTTCTCTTTGGGGCCTGCTTGAGTGAGGCTGGGGCATTTTTAAGCCACATCTGAGCATCCCACTTGCTCCTGTCAGGGTGAGCTGATGGTGTGGGGAGAGGCAGATTTGGGAGCCTTTGTGGCCCTGCCCAGAGCATCACAGCACCAAGCTCTACTTACGTGGTTTGTTATAATAAAACCTATAATTTTTTCCACATTTTCACTCTTCAGCCCGTATTCAGGTGCTGTTCAGTGTACGGCAGGGTCCACATGATGGGGGTTTTAGAGGAGGAGAGAGAAAGGACCACAGAGACATTAGGTGGAAAGGCCAGGCTGGGTGTGCAGAGCAGGGGCTGGACCATCAGGAGCTGCTGGCAGTGAGCTGGTAGCACCCTGAAAAAAATCTTTTATCCTCTGTTGACTTCTGAGCTGTCCAGAGAGAATGCCTGTCATGCTACAGCCCCTCCTGGGTATTGTTTGGTTTAAGGACAGGAGGGAGGAAGCTCTTTTATCACCTAGAAAATGACAATACACTTGAAATACCTCCTCCTTGACTCTTCCACAAATTCCTCTTTACACATCCAGAGCTTACATCCAAGCATCAATTTTAGCAGCTGAGGAATAGGGGACAACATTGAGAAAGCTTGCTGTGCCTCAGAGGGCTCTCCGTCAGCCTGCGGGCAATGCTTCACATCCATGTCTACTTTCTATGCCCTTGTGTACCTCTTCCTAATTTGTGCTGCGCAGTATCTGTGTAGTCTTTGGTGTAAAACTGGTGAGAGAGCTTCATCTCTTGTGGCATAAGCACTGAGCTTCATCCCCTGCCCATACCTGAAGGCTGCTCCCATGGAGTGGCTCTCTACCCCCTGAAATACTCCTGGTATTTCATACCTGCACACCCCAGGGAGGTTTGAGGATCCTCTCACCACCCTAACTCTAAAAGGTCTGTAATGGATGTTTAGTGACAACTGCCATGCCTGGAAATCTGTCAGAGTTGGGACCGAAACAACCATTTCTTGCTGCTGACAGAAGACCTTAAGAGAACTGCTCATAAAGGGTCTCTCTTTGCAATTTTACCGTGTGGCTCTCCTAGTGACATCAAGTTTCTTTGCCATTTTTGAATGCATTCACTTTCAAGTCTTCCCTTCGTATGCTGCTTTTGGTGCAGGAACTGCGTTGTCCAAGGCCACAGGAGCTGTTTGGTGCCAGCTGGCTCTTCCTAAATTTATCCTTGATAGCTGCTCATTTCATTTCCTCACGGTGTTGTTAGGGAAGTGATACCTGATTCTGCATTGTACGTGCATCTAAATCAGGGGAAGGCTGCTGTAATTCACAGCCTTCTCAAGCAGGGCCGCAGCTTGCCCCAGCCGTGGTGATAACGCAGCTGTTTTCTGGGGGCAGCCGTGAGGTGCACACCCGTGGGCCTCCTGCTGAAGTAAGCCTTACTGGAGGCAAGTTTCCTCCAGGAGATGAAATCACGAGAAGCAGCATCTGGTAAAAGAGTCACATCTCTACCTACAATTTCCTGACACGGCTCCAACCCCGCAATGGCTTTAGGTGAAGGCGCTCCGCCGCGCCTTTGGAAAAGCGACCCTGCGGATCGGATTGTCTCATCGAAATAAAAGCTTAAAACCGTCTCATCTGATTTAGGAAAAGGTCAAGAGCTGCTTCCCATGCACAGGGGTAGTGGCCAGGCACAGAGCTGCCACTACGCTCACTACAAGATGATGTCCAAGCACAGGAGCTGATATTTGGGTATTTACAAAGCCGAAAGCACCGTCGTGCACACTTGGCACCACGCTGCTCCCAGCCTGGGCCCGCTGGTGTGCAGGGTTCACCCGCAGCACGACACAAACCAAACGATGCCAGATGTGCTCTGAGCACAGCATCGAGTTGCTCACCTTCATGGCAGAGCAGAGCTGCTCGCGCTTGCTCTTTCAGAGCACCACCGATACCAGCTCTTCACCCCCGGTGCGAGGGATGGGGGAAAAAGGGGAAGTTAAAAAGCCCTGCAGAAACTTGGACCGTTCAGGTGCAGCGCTAAAACCCTGCCAAAAAGGACTCGCATATGATTTATCAGCATAACACTCCGGCCAAAGCGAAAAAACAGACTTTACTGCCCCGTTAATTTTGATACAAAAACCAGAGAAAGTTAAAAACAGCATTGGTCAGCTTAAAGGAAAACAAAAATTGAAACGGTGATAATAGCTACAGGGGGACACTACTGCTTAGCTAAATTTTCTTCTGTATGGCTAAAAAAAAAAAGTGAAGCATCCGGCTTGTAGTTAAATGTATCTAAACAAATCCCCCCATATTTCCCCCTGGCTTGTCACGTGTAAGGATCAGTGCTATAACCACAGCTGCTTGGTTTTCCAGGGTAGGGTATTTTTCTCAATTCAAAGCCCTTTTCTGTTCCTGAAGCACTAACCCCCCAGCCATGTTATGGAAGGATCTTGGACACTTTAAGTAGCATCTTTCATATTAGGGAATATTTCTTACCGAGTTTTGACTTTGGCTCGCAGGAAGAGATCTCTACAAGCCTGCAGATGAGCACGCAGATAAATAACAAACTGTGCCCTGCCTCCCACCTCCGCCAGAAGTTCGGCCAGTTGGTCCACAGAAAAAATATCAAGAACGACTGCTTCCAAGGGTCATGAGTCCACGTTCATCCTGAAATCACCACACTTCTGACACTTCTTCCCTCCCTGAATCGCAGCGACATTGCATAACTTACTCCCCATCTCCCCGCAGTAATTGTCCTTGCACCACGACTACGGCACCGTGGACTGGCAGCGCCTTTTGGCTGCTTTCCATGGAAATTCAGTTTTTCAAAAAAAAAAAAAATTATGTTTATGCATAAATATGACAAATGCAAAAGCTGCAGGCGGGTAAAATCTGCTTCCTGCAGAAACAAAGCAATAACTGTAATAACTGACTGTGAGTTAGAACAAAACGCGCTGCTTGGAATAAATAATAATGTAAGTCAGTTTAAAAAAATAGCAATTGTAATTTTAGACTGTAAGGTTAAAACCGTCTCCTCTAATTGCACAGCAACACCTGCATTGCACTGCCTCAGGCAGCTGCAGCAAGTGAATGGACTCAGACCCATAAAACACTAGGCAGGTTTTCCATGGGCAAAGGGTGGTCAGTGCTGATCAGCAAAGCACTCAAACCAGGCACTGCTGCACTGAGGTTAAGGAAGATGTCCCAAATTTGTCTTTGAAAACAAAGTTGCTTCAACCTCTCAGCTGGAGCAATGTGTTTCATTTTATGTTATTAAACCACAAGCACATTGAAATGCTGGGTCTCCCTCAATCCCTGCAAAAAAGGTGATTATGTGGCTGCTGCAGTCCAGGGGGACCGCTTGTCACTCACCTAGATCCCACAGTTCCACAGCAGCCAGAATTTCTAGGGGCTTCCAAATCCAGCCACCAAGTCTAAGCCAGGAGGTTTGGCATGGTTGGTTGTAAAGGCTCTGTTCATACACACTCAACATTGTGACTTCTGTGTCACGGTCCAACAAAATACAGCATTGCTTCTGCTGCCCATACTTCTGCTACTTGGTATGGATTTTTAGAAAATTTAATGCAGCATTTTTCCACTGCCATCTGTTACATGCAAGTTCCAACTGAGCAAAGATGTCCAGTTTTGTAGGCTTAAAGCTGCCAGTGGTCTGAAAGAGGCAGAAGAAAGCATCTCGCTTTGTTCATTTGATAGCAATCTTTGTGTGTTAGTTATGTGCAGGCATAACCTGGGATTTTGACACTGGGTCTCTCAGATCCCAGGTTAATTTTGTTCCCTATGACTTACCCACCCCAAAAGAGGAAAGGCCTCAAAAACAGCTCCCTTGCTGCTGGGAGAAACACTCCCCTTCCTGAAAGCTTTACTTGTATCAAGTATTCTATATTCAACTATGATTAAAACCAACAAAACAAACAAACAAACAAACACATATCTCAGCCAGCTCTTTTGCTGCAGAACTCAAAATCTTCTGGTGGATGCTTTCTGGAAATCATTTTTCCCCAACAAGGGCAGACACGAAGATGGAGAATAGATCAGTCAATATTACATGCAATTAGGAGGCACCATAACTGATTAGCCTACTGAACACCAGGGGCCAAGCCTGGTTACAGAAATAAGGCCGGCATCCCTAGCACAGGTAGTTTATGCAGACTAGGATGTGCCCCCACACATTTGTGGTCAATCCCTTGCTAGCTACCCAGCTAGAATAAGGACAATCCAAAGAGCAAAACCCTTTAGGAAATCTCACTTTAATGTGTAGTGGTAAGGTGACAAAAACTGAGTGTTATACAAGAAAATGTACATGATTTTTTAAGACATCTGAATGGGAAGTGGAAGCAAATCTTTTCATAAAATACTTTCTTACTAAAAGACTGATATTATTCTTTATGCCTAGAAAATCTAATTATTGTAGAAGGTACAACTAATAATTCCAATTTTAAAGCTGAATAAAACAAGTTAAAATAGCATCAAACTCTACTGTGATCTTTAAACCCAACATAATTGGGCAAAGTCAGATCTTCAAGTCTTTTTATTCTAACAATTCACAGAATTAGCTGAGAAACTCAACACTTTTAGAAAAAAGTTGATTTCTTCCGTAACTGACTCACCAGTACCTATGCCATCTAGTGGCCCGTTCCTTCAGGCAAGTGCACCGATGAGTTATTAAAAGCCTTTGGTTAAGGCTGATTCTTTAAAAACACAGTGTCAGTTTTCTGCAATTGATTTAAATGAGAGGCTGGAATATGCAATGCTGAACATTACTACTGACCGGAGTATGATAGAAATTCAACCTCTTCTCCAGATTCTAATCTGCAAGAAGTAACCAGTCTTAAAGGGACATGTCAAAAAAACAAACATCTTCCCTTTCTTCAGACGGGCCTCGTATCACCTTTGATTAAATCTGTGTAACTAGTACACTGAGCAGAGTAACCACTTCCATCAAAAAATGGATCCTTTCCAGTAAAAAGGCTCTCCTCATTCCCAATTACTTGGGTCTGAAAGACTAACAAAGTCTTGCATCTTCATGCAAACCTAGTTTTTACATATCTTTTATTCGAGAAAGACTATAGTTTGAATTTGGATTCTTTTGCTTGCAAAGACCTGGTTGCTAGTTCAACTCTTTCCTTTAACAGGCTGGCTTCTTCATCGTTCTTTTGGGCTTGTACATTTTTCAGTAAGAAGTGGGTAAGGAAAAGTTTCAAGCCTTCCCGCAGCGTTCCCAGTTTGGGGTTGTCAGATATCCTGTAAAAATACAACACAGAAATAGTATTAGACTTCTACTGTTTCAAAAGTTTCTGCATTTTTTTTTTCCTTCAAATAGAGATATTAAAATAAAAAAAAAAAAGATATATAGAAGGTGCTTTTCCAAAAAGGCTTTCAAATTAACAGCATATCTACATTGATTTGGCAAACAGCCCAAACATACTCAACATACAATTGGTCCTCAGCAATAAATTGAAGTATCAGAATACTAAACTTGTTTTACGTAAACAATCGCATTACAGAAAAGAAAAACCAAGGCAAACACCATGTTTGAACTTCCTTGTGTTACAGCTGAAACAACATTTCCCTCCCCAGCTTTATGTGACACTGCAAGTACAATATAACTTTCTTCCTGGACTAACTTGCAAATTTTAGCTGTCTCTATAACAACTGGAATATTGGAACGCAATTTTACATGGGTCACAAGAAACCCAAACTGTATGGGTATGAATCCAATGAACTGTGTAATACTTCATAGAACTCAAGGATGTTTACAGATACATTTATCACTTGTAGGGGATTAAGCAAAACAGAAGTGTCAGAACAACATTTTAGCACCTTCAATGAAACTGAGATCTTTTTGATCATTGTGAAGAAGGATTTAAAAAAATAAGTTCCCTGTCAATTGTATAAAACCAAGATTTTCCATACAATGTTGGTTTAAAAAACAAAAACAAAACCACAAACCTTTCTCACGGCAACGTAAAAAGAAAAAAGGAGAAAGTACTAAAGAAATCTACCAGCAAAGACTGCTTGGAGACCAAACCTCACTGCACACAGATGGTAAAGCAGTAAGGAATGCATTAAGGAATGCAGGTAATTACAGAGCTCTGCTCATGAAAATCCTAAATGATACACTGAATATCTGAAAGCCTTATGTTGTACATAATACTTTGCACAGCTGTATCTAGATCAGAACCTGTACTAACAAACACTTCATGCCTGCTGGCCCACCACCACCTTCCCCCAACAGAGCTTGCTTTTTAAGGGATGGATGTCTGGTATTTAGAGAAGGCAGTGTGTAATTGCAAACAAATAAGCAAACTTCTTATCTTTCTAAATTATTGCAAATGAAGGATTCTCTGGAGATCTCTCTGATCACTTACCTCCCAAAAATATCACCAACATCTTCAGCATCTGTTTTGACTAATAGCATGCTTAATACTTGTCGCAAGAAACGGACTTTGGGTTTATCTAGTTCACTGAATTCAATCACCTGGTTTTAGAACAGAGAGAATTAGATTGGACTCCCATATATATCAAGGCTGAAGTTATGCACAGAAAAATTAGTTGAGAACGCTGCCTCCCTAAAGTCAATCAATAAGGAAGCACTGAAGTTTTTAAGGAATAACAAGTCCGGTAGTACCACAATACGAAGATGTAATTATTCAATTTGATAAATACTTCGAAAGTACAACCTAAGACAATCCAGAATATTGTCTGTTTAACACGTTTAAATTATTTTTTTAAATAAGTTTCATGGACTTATTGTGAAATTTAAGCCCTCCCCCCCGAAGATTTTTTTTCTGGTCTAATAAAAAACATCAGCTAGAACTGGTGGTACAAAATTCACTAGCAAAGCCTGCTAATAAAAGGACCTCAGTTCCAACCCCAGATGCTCTACAGAAAACGGCAGTCATATAACTGTTCTTTACTAGAATTGAACAGGGCATCCAAACCATTAAAATCCCTATAGATCCAATGGGATTTCATTAACACTGCCTCTGATAATGAGAGATCCAAATCACCTGCTCCAAGGCAGTTTTTCTTTGTTTGGGAGCAACACTGCTACTGGACAAGGATGTTTCTATGTTGTATCGTCCAGGATTTCTGTATGCTTCCATCACCCCAGGACCCTTTTCCCAAAAGGATAGCACTACTATAGTTGATAAAATTAATCTGGTAATTTTAGAACAAGTTTCATCTTTGTTCATGACAATGAACATGCAAAGCACCAGTTAAGTACATACAGCTAATAATACACGTTTTCCACAGAACTTGGAAACGTGAGAACACGTATTTTGAAAAGAAAGCACACCAACCTTGAGAACTGAAAGCGGCAATGATTTTGTCCTTAGTAAGTGAACCAACACTGAAACCAAATTGGTGATGGCAGTGGCTGACAGGTTGCCCAAGTCTTTGATTTTGTCCCAGATACTAAACTGAAATGTCACCTAGGCGTCAAGGGAAAAAATACAAATCAAGGAACTGTTTAAGTAAGAAATTACAAACCCTTTTGACCTTCTATTCTTTATGTGCCCTCTGTTAATTAGATCTTTGATCGGATAGTTCAAGTCCTTTTAAACATGTGAAACAGAAAAAAAGCAAACCTTCTACAGAAGTTACTTAGTGGCAGATCTGAGCAGGAAAGAGTTTACCTTACTAAATGCACAGGTGTACCAGGAGAATTTTTCATCAGGATCATGAAATGTAAACAGGCACACATCTACTCTCAGGTGGTCAATAATTGTCTTTCTAACCATAACAATGGCACTAAAAGTAGAAATGCATTTTTCTTTACCTGAAATCGTCTTTCGTATTCACAGAACTTGCCAGCCAAAAATGCATAGAAGGGGTTATACGTCTTCTCCTGTAAGCAGCAATAAAGGATAACATGAACAATTTCTCTCTCCTGCTGGTCTTTCAGTCCAAGCCTAAAATTTAGAAAAGGGGATAAAAATAGTTCAGTAAGGAACAAATTATTGCAACTAAGTAAAAGCTACAACAGTCAACATTTTAATACCTTAAAAAAAAAAAAAAAAGGCATTCAATTCTGGTTGTCAGAAGTTCTTAAAGTCCTCAAAAAAGGCTGAACGGCATCAAACCCTTAAGACTGTACGCTAAGTCAGCATCCTGGTACAGCAATATGGAAATGCTACAGCATTACTGGTGTAAAAGAAGTGGCTGCAAATATAAGACCACAACAGATTGAGGCAGAACGACACAAGTATTTACTGCCTGGAGAGGAAGTAGCAGCCCAACTCCATGTTTGCAGCCCTCCACAAAGGAAAACAGAAGAGACAAGTGTCATCAAGGAGTCTTGTCATTATGTGGGCTTTGAAAGCAGCAGCACTACAACTTGGAGTACTAACACAGAGGATAAACTGTGAGACAAGAGCTGCTTGGACAACAAAACAGAACAGCACCACCTGAGGAAAACAGTATCAATAAGTACTTATGCTGGCTGTCTCCCAGCATAAAGGCCAAGGACTGAACAGCCTTCCCACTTGAACATTTGACCACTCGAAAATAGGGCCGAGGCACTTTGGCCAGGAACGGTAACTAACTCACAATGCACCTGTTCTGTGAATAATATGATTTAGCTTCCAGGGCTGTCAGATGCTTGGCAGCATTAAAACCAATTAAAATGAAGGATGCTTAATATTATAATCTGCAAAATGTCAAACAAAATTATTTTCATTGCTTCAAGCTCAAGTTTCATACAGCATTGGTATAACTCAAATGCATTTTCTAACAAAGTTTGACCCCACTGGAACTTGCTCTACAGTCTGGAGAGTACAGCTTGTCATAGCTTGAGTCTAACGTCCATTGCTTGTACACCCTTCCAGACATCTGTCATTGCATTTGATCACAGACACGTACTAGAGAAATACTGTCACTCAGCCAAGAAACAGAACGTAAGGTTTTACAATAGGAAAGTCTGGGATGATTTCTAGGTTGACTGCTAATGAATGGAGAAAACTTCAGTCTGGTTCCCCAAAAGAAAACAGCACCGCAAGCACTGGTCTGCGATAGCATTCACTGCTCGCCCATCAGCCAAGGTCTATCTGAGTTTGTCACAGAGCAACAAAAGTTTGTTCAGAAAACATATGTTAAGTAGTCAGCTATCTGGCATGTATCTAATGGATGACTTGTGAAGTTACAGTGTAGTCACTAATTTGGTCTGTTCCCTTTTTCCTTGCTCATCATCACTTCTAACATAACTTATTTTGGAAATACTCACGTTGCCAGACAGTTGTAACCAAGAAAAACAGCATTTGATGTTGTTCAGTTTTGTTCTTACCCTCACTTCTTCACAGACCTAGCACTATTTTCTCTTTTCAGACCTGATATTCCTAAACAACTAAAATGTAAGCGTTGGGATTGTCTTTCACTGCTGAACTTCACCCTAAAGCTGCACAGATTTCATAAGCCTGGTAACTTTGCGTAAAGAAGCTGCAAGCACCTCACTTATTAAATCATTCCAGAGGTACAATGCTCCCAGAGATTTGCATGTCTTAATCAATTTAAAAATTGCCCTCCAAATACTCAGTAACTGCCTCTGAAGCAGGTTATTTCTCACCAGCAGAAGCCTGCCCCCAAGTAGGTTAGTTATCATCAGCTGGAGCCCAAAATTATCACTGGCTTTAGATCAAAAAAAACCAACATTCAATACCACCTATTAAAAATCAATTTATGTGAGTATAGTAGATGCAATCCCATACTCACTATTTGGAATTGCACAACACACTACAACGGGCTAGCTAAGCCTTCTTCCCCTATTACAATTTTTGTGAGATGTGAAGTTTCTCAAGTTGTTCTTCTCCATGAAACCACTTACAAAATTGCTGGCCCAAACTGGCCAAAGGGATGGCCGGTGCTGATGGCCACATGGCATTGTGCTGAACAATAAATACGGGGAGCTGACCAGGGAGAGGGGTGGGGGCAGTACTGCCACTGCTCAGGGTCTGGCTGGGCATCACTCAGCAGGCAGTGGCCAATCGCACCGTGTGTCAGGTTGCTCAGAGAAGCTGTGGATGCCCCATCCCTGGAGATGTTCAAGGCGGGGCTGGATGGGGCCCTGGGCAACCTGATCTAGTGGGTGGCATCCCTGCCCATGGCAGGGGGTTGGAACTGGCTGGGCTTTAAGGTCCCTTCCAACCTGAGCCATTCTGTGACTTACTTTTCCCAAAAGGAGGAGAAAGACAAGCAAACCGTAACAGGCTGGGTTTAAAATGGTTTAAATGACCATTTCACCACAACTCAGTTCTGCCAGAGATGTAGCAGCAGATGAATCAACAAGCACAATTAGAGTATATCTTTCTGCTCCTCCTCAAGAGCCTGACATCAAACACAGGAATATAAGTTCCCATATGCTCTGGAAAGCATGCTTGCATTAAAGTTAATTCCTTCACTGACTAGTCTGTGTGCTTTCTGTTATACCCTGCCAGATGTGGGCAGATTTTAGAGTCCTCTTCTGTCTGCATTTGCCGCATAAAAATCTGAATCAACACACAGCAGGCAATCTGCAGACACAGTTTTTCTGCCAAGCCTGTATGTATATAGATTTGTATACTAGTTTAAATAGCACAGATGAGAGTCAAGGATCAATTTGCAAATTGAGCTACCAGGCCTTGGCAAGAACTGCAGCAGCAGCAGCTAATTTCTTTTAATTGAACAGGCCATATTAAGATATTGGAATGACTCCATCACAGTCTTAAATCCAAGCTGTGTTTTGCAGAAGTGGCATTTAATCAAACATTAGTTGACTTTATTACGGAGTCTGTTTTGGTTTGGTTAGCAAATTAAATAATTGCATGCCATCAGGGTAAGAACAATTCCTATGAATTACAAGGCTGCAACAGGAAAGTTCAGACCTGATCTCTCTCCTCCCAGTTACTACAGACTTGCAATTAATATTCTGACAAACCCAAAGAATAACTTATTTTGAGCTCTTCCCTGATCACATACTCTTCTAAAGAGAAGTGTGTCAAGCGTGAGGAAACCGGTCTTAACATGATATGGGACCCTGGAGCAAGTCCAAAGCTAATAAATTCTGTGGGAGAGAAACTGAGGTGCTAGAACGCTACCAGGTCCTGCAAGACTGGACAGAGACACACAAGGTGGCAAGAAGTAAAGGAAACAAGCCTGCAACAGATTGGGATCCGCTAGATTGAGATCCACATCTTCAATACAAACACATATAGGCTCCTTAAATCAAAGGATGCTGTAAATCACAGTTCCAGACTTAAGTGACAATAACAGAGGCTGCTTTTTTCATCTGGCTACCAGTCAGTTCTGCCTGACCCTTAGTACTCCTTGCATTCGGGGTTTGGTCCCCTTCGTACCCTTCCACTCCATCCTCACATGGATCCTAGTTACACACTTGGATCCCATTTCAACTAAACAGTGAGACCAGCAATGTTATTCTTCCTTCCCAGCTATCACTATTTTTAGTTCTGGGCTTTCTTCTGACCTAGTCAGTACTTACTTCAGAAGCTTTTCAAAGGCATCCAGGAAATCTTCACTTGTCATCAATACACAAAAAATACTTCTCCTGATATCAGTGTTCATTCTCTGCTTACGAGCAAGCTCTATTATCTTTGAGCTCACCTGAAAAAAAAAAAAAAAAGGAAACTCTTAAAGAGAGCTATTTCTGTGCAGCCTCTAATATGACCGTTAATAAAAACCTGAAGTAAAGCGTGAAGCATCAATCCAGAGGTCCTGAACTTTTGTCCAATAAAGGCACAGGCATCATCAGGAGCTTTTTCAATTAGGGAAACCTAGTTTAATTGTGCCAATTATCTTTAAGAAGTGCTTTCCTAATGTACGTGACCACAACCATCTCAAACTACTTCATAATTGCATAGGAGAAGAAAAAACACTATCATAATATTATGATAATAGCTCTTTTGAAGGGCATGAGTCCAACATTTTCAAAGTTTTAATATCAGATCTTACAATCCGAAAGCTTCGTTTTACAAGAGTCCACCAAGGCTCTTTTTGGTGGGCTCTTAAATGAGCTTATTCGTCTGTATCAACAACATTTAGAAGATTAAACGATTCAACTTATTAGTTCTATTAGTCCTACTTGGATTTACCTTCCCAATGTGCAGTTTTTGCTGAGTCTTGCTGTTTGCATTATCAATCATTGGTGCTCCACTCCAGGACGACCCGATGATCCACCAGCGACCAACCTTATCAGCATTGAGGAGCGATTCCAGGGAGACACGGAGCTCAGTTTCTTTTCCCGAACTACTGCTGTGAACCTTGAATAACAGCACAATAATAAGTAGCAACAGATTTTTATTTTCTTTTAATATACTTAATTACTTAAAATTACTTTTAAACAAATACTTTAAACAAATACAAGTTGATCTTTCATGTTTCTTAAAGATCTTCATGTTTCTTTCCCACCACCTTTTCTTTCAGGCAGTAACCTGATTTTTTTTTCAAGAAAGTAACCTGATTTTTCCATTTGCTCTGATTTCTCAAATAATAAAAGTTTCTAAGCATAGATTTGATCAACTTCATCTTTTTTCTTTTTAAACAAAGATCATCAATAAAAAGACAGCCATCTTTCACTCAGAACTCAATTACAATTTAGATTTGATAATGACATTGTAAGATGCCCCAATTAGTTTCCAATCTGGTCATGATTTTCCCATTGAACATTTATGATCAAACAGAATGACAAAATGATAAACTGCCGTAAGTTTTGTACAATTCAAACAAAATGTATAGACTCTTCAAACAAAATAAAAATTTTCAACTGAAGAGTCTAGAGGTGTACTAAGAGGGTTGTGAAAAATTGAGAGGAAATTCTACAGAACTAGGTTACCTATCATTGCTGATTTGTGCATGCTGGACTTAAAAGTTTCTGAAAAATAACATGCTGCAGATGCATATGCTCTAGGAACCAGATTTAAATATTGTGAAAATTAATTAGCTCTCCAAAGAGACAATTATTTTCATGCATTTTATGCTGGATTGTTCTAGACATCACCCACAAGGCTCCCAGAAAAGAAAACAATAAACAAAACATATACATTTTAAGAAGTCCTGGACTTCCAAAATAGTTCTGGTGAACTTTCAAACAGGTGCCTGCATTTAAAATCTATGGGAAAAAAACTGTCATGATGACTCATTCCATCTGCACAATCATTAAACATTCCACAGTCTCTTTGTCAAGTACAGGACTTTGCCTCAAACCCTCTGGCTACATATTACGTACTTTCCCAGACTCTTCTGCAGAAGGTTGTTTGATGCCTAGCTAAATTTAAACACATGAGATTATTCAAGTACTACCTAAGAAGCAACTTTTGTCCACAAGAATATCAGACTGTTAAATGATTTTATACATATATATAAAATTATATTAGTATATATTAAATACTATATAGCATATAATACACCATCAAGCTGACATAAACCAGAGTTGATTATTTGTAATGTAAGAACAGCTATTCTACCTATGTCAAGAAAATTCTCACCAGTGTTCTTTGCAATTTGCGGAGTTTTTCAACTGGCTCAGGATCATAACCGGGAATCTTACGCATGTCATTATTCCTCAGTGCCAACATAGTCTCTAGCATAAAGCGAACCTATCAGGAAAAGAAATATTTATGTGGATTACATGCTGCAAGTTTAATATATAAGTAGAAAGCGTATTTTCAAAGTGCTATTCTGTGAGAATAAGCGACTCATCTGGCAACATAAATTGAAAGTTAGAGTACATGAATACAGAGAAGGATGTTTACTCTAACTCCTATTGTATTCGTGTTCAAGCTTCAGTTCAAAGCCTTATCTGCTAAATGCCAGCCCCCAGTGACCACTTTTTGACGTGTAAGAAGTATGAAACAGAAGAATTAGTCATTGCATAGAATACGTGACAGCTCTAGTTTCCCCAGTTGCAAGCATTTTGGTATCTGTGTCCTAAGAACTAATGAGGAAAGACAAAAAGAAAATAAATAACTGAATGCAGCGACTGAACTCTAATGAACTCTAGAACCTAGAGTATAATGGAAAACATTTTGGTAAATATACACATGTACATGAGCAATGTTGATTCAGAAAAGAAAATCCTTAATACACACATACCCTAGTCTGATCCTTAAAATTCTTCTCTGCTGTGTGTGCTTTGCTCTGGGCTTCACTGATCAGGTCCTTCAAAGCCAATGCGTCATCTTTTCTTAAGGAAAAGCCCACGTTTTTCAGAAGAAACAAAATCAGCTCAATATCTTTTTCAGTGAAAGTGCTAACAAGCTTCTTCAGAATATCAAAGATGAGCAGGGAATGAACTACATGGAAGTTATACAGATGGGCAATCAAGGCAAGCAGATTTTCACATTCTTTCCCTTCAGCATCACTTTTAGAGAGTTCATCAAATTTCTTCACCACAGCTTCCAAGAAGTGAGCACCGACCTGGCAGAAGTTCCATTAAGGAAAAAATAACAATTCAGCAGTTAACCACTAGCAGATTTTCAAGACAATTGTAAAATTATCATTTTTGAGGGACTGCCATTATTAATCTTAAAGAATATTGTTCCTCTCAACAAAAACGGTTGTACTACATGTACAAATAGTAACTAGTTTGTGTCACATTTTATTAAAGTATGTTATTTATACCTCTTATATGTCATCCAGTTGCCTTTTAAAATTACAAATGTTACAAAATTACAGTATGCATATCAAAATTTGTTTAGACAATTTTCATGAACACATTTTCTCAGCTGTCAAACTAGCATGCTGTTACTGTTAGTCATGTATCAGGTAAAAGATGCATGTCCAAGACCAAATGCATCACAGAGTTTACCATTCCAGAACTAAATATTTGAAGTGTGGGACAGTAAAATCACAACACACCACATTTTCGCAGTTGATGAGCATGAGACTAGTTTAAAGTGTGAATAAGACTTCACTGTTTGTCAGAGGTACAGCTGGGAAAAAAATCCTGGAATTCCTGTATTTATAAAGAGTAAACTAATGGTAAAGACCGGAATTAAGAAGCATACCAAAATACAGGTATGTAGAGATCACATTACTGCTAAGGTTCAAACGAGACACTCACACCATTACCACAGTAGTAATATTAGCCCTTCTTAAAATTGGAAACGGGAAGTTTTATAACAGTGACCAATGTTAATTTACAAAGTAATTAGTCAGATAAAGCAACTCAGACCTGTGAACAGCAAACAAATAAGCTACAAATACAAAGAGAGTTCATCTATCAACTGAAATATGTTATTTAGCGACACGTTGGATATTAGGAAGAACTTCTTTACTGAGAGGGTTATGAGGCATTGGAATGGACTGCCCAGGGAAATGGTGGAGTCACCATCCCTGGAGGTCTTTAGGAAACGTTTACGTGTTGAACTTAGCAATATGGTTTAGTGGAGGATTTGTTAGTGTTAGGTCAGAGGTCGATGATCTTGAGGTCTCTTCCAACCTAGACAATTCTGTGATCAGAAGTTAAAAGGCAATCAAGAAAAAGACATCAAGAAAAAACACCGCCCAATATGTATTATTAAACAAAGTTAGTCCCAGAAACAAAAATTACCTCAATTCCTACTGTATGATGAAGAACGCTGACCAAAAGGACATGCTCCATCATCAGTCTTGCAGGCATGGCAACCGCAGTAACACAAGCATTCATAAGAATATCTGTTAGAGTTTCGTTCATGTCCTTTCTACTGTTGGCCATGTAAAGCTCCTCCAGTTGTCCACTAATGGAGGACAAATTTGGTTCACTCAACCTATTGAGAAACAAAATCCAATGTTCACTGTTTCACCTTTTTGCATAGTTCCACAATTTTCAATTTATCCAACATACAACCTGTCTGTAAGCCAAGCTAGCTCTTTTAAAAAGAATAAAGATGAATGAAAGGAACCTTTTGTATTTTGCCGTGTTCACTAAAATAAAAATGAAACTCCAGAACATTTTTTTTAAAGTACTTACATGTAGGAACAGATTAGCAGCAATATTTACAAAACACTATCACTGTCCTTACTGTCATACTGAACAGCCTTATTAAAAAATTGTTCCTGTTCAGTATTAACTATGGCACACCACAGTCTTTGGAAAAACACTTTATACTTCTGTAACATATCAGATATAGCAAATCCTAAGTAACTAAAACTGTATTCTGTAGTCTGCATTTTACAGATAATAGATAAAAGTATAAACAGATTTCTTATTTTAAGGGTATTCTAAAATTAAAAGCACATTGAAGCGTTAATTACTTTTTCTGGTCTTCAGTACTTTAAGCTATAAAGTAATATAAAGTTGCTCTTCCTTGACTGCAGTGCTAGAGAAAATTTAACTTTATTTAATTTATAAAAAAACATGCTAAGGGGAATATAGCACGCATGTCAAAATGTGATTTTATTTTTTTTTTCTAAATAGGCATACTCCAACTGACACTTAAGAGAATTATTGCTAGCATTTGCAGGCAACAGCCATGTGGAATTCAGCCCAATCTTGAATTTATTTTCCATTTTTTCAACTTCTATAACCACCAACTTTGAAGAATCTCTATCAACAAAGACAATTATTATTAAGGATAGCAGACATGACTGACAAATTAAATGTAGTTTGAAAAGACAAAAGTCACATCCATGCCACTTTTCTTTGAATGATGATCACTGTCACACAGAATCAGAAAGATTAATTACTTGTCCTTATTACATTACCTATTAATGAGACCATTCACCATTTTCTTCAGTCTTCCCAATTCTTCTCTTTTCTTGTCATCTAGTGTCTCCTGAGCTTTTCTCACCTGAGGGGGAACGTACTTCGTAGCACTGTGATTATGATCCTTACCAAGAAAACAACAGAATAGCAAATGAGACTACCATTTTAAGTATTTAAATATTTTAAATAAACACATATGTTTCTATTTAAGAGGAATATATCAGTCTTACTTAAACGTACATTCCACTGTTCCGATAACTAATGTCAAAGGAACAACTTCATTCAGAAACAAAACCAACATGCAACAAGTTACTGCTTATGATCAACTTGACAGTAGCAAAAAATTCCCCTCTCCCCTTCATGTGAAGTTTCATGTAAGTTATTCTTATACTTTTGTAAGTTATACTTATATTCTTACACTGGGATCTTTAATCTTTGTTTTATCCAGATAGACAGCAGAAACCTGTACAGGTGAAAGCCTCAGGTGCAGGGGTACTAACAGCTTAACTTGGTGCCATGTGGCTAAACGATCTGTTTGGCTTTCTCTTCTCTTTGCTACAAAGCCTATACCACAGGCAGAACCTCTGGGATCATCTGGAAGAAGAAACACTCCCGTTCCCAGTTGGTATTCATTTTTAACAAACTTTTTATGGTCTTGGTGGAAAGGCCTAATCTGGATCTTCTAGAACTGAGATGGTCACACTTCTTTGTTCCTTTTAGTTGCTAATCTTGTATATACAAACAATGCTTTGTGCTTTAGGGTGCAACCTCCTACCATACCCTCCATGTGTGTTTGTCCCTAGGACGTCGCCAACCTCAGAAGTCAACGCTTGGTAGGCCCAGCGCTGTTTTCACCCACATTCCACATGCTGGTTAGAGAGCAAACACTTTGCAGAGTCGATGTAAAGTCTATTTTGCATTCATGGCGCTTTGGGATGCAAGTTTGTGCTATTTCAGACAAACACCCTACCTCCTCTTCCTCCTGCGGGTCCGGGGGCTCGCTTGCCTCTGGCTCACCCTCGGGGGCCGAGCTCCCATCACTCTCCCACTGTTCTTCCACATCCTCCCCTTCGGAGGCGTCAGAGGCGTCCTCCAGCTCTTCATCCTCCCCCAGGGCCTCCTCCTCCTCCTCCTCCTCGTCGTCTTCCTCTGGAGCCTCCTTGCTGGCCCTCAGCCCCGGTGCCTCCTCCTGGTCGCTGTCCCCGCACAGCTCGCCGAGCCCGGCGCCGGAGCCCAGGACTCCCAGCACGTAGTCCAGCCCGTCCCGCACGAAGCTCTGGGGCAGCCCCTCCGCCCCGCTGTTCCCTTTCTTCTTGCGGCGCTTGTTGAGCCCCAGCCGCCGCTCCAGCCGCCGGATCTCCTTCTCCTCCTCCTCGTTGGCCTCCAGCAGCGCCCTTTTTCGCGACCAGGAGATGGCGGCCGGCCGAGGGGCCGGCACCGGCGGCCGCACCGCCTTCTGCTGCCGCGGCGGCTCCGGGCGCTGCTTTACAGCGGCTGGAGGCGACGCCGGGACTTTGGGGCTGGCGGCAGGAGCCGGCCGGGCAGGAGCAGCGGGGGCTTTCCCCGTCTCCCCAGTGTTGTTGCAGGCGGCGGCGGCTCCGCTTGAGCCTGCGCTTCTCCTTCCTCAATTCCCGGCGGCTCTTTCGGTTCGGTCTCTCCGACCCTACCGACGCGGGCAGCGGCGGCTGGTCTCCGGCTGCCTTCACGAACTCCTCCACCGCCAGCCGCAGCCGATTCAGCTTCTCCCCGCCGCGCCGAGCCCGGCCGGCCGCTGCTCCCCGCTTCTTCATCCTCCCCTCAGCCACGCCGCGCCGGGGCGCCGCCATCTTGTGGAAGAGGCGCCCTCCCCTTCCGCCGCGCGGCCGCCATTTCGCGCAGCAGCGCCCTCTGCTGCCTCGGCGTCCCGGGGCCGCCGGGAGCCGCGCTCGAAACCAGTGCTAAATCCGGAGAAACTCTCCCGTTTTTCATGTTTAAGAAAATATCACGGTTAATCTTAGCATTAAAAAAGGGAATGGAATAATTTCTTCCCGATAAAGTCCCTTCGATAAACTTCTAATGCCTCATGATGTCCAGAGACTGCAGTGCCCCATGACACTTCTCCACCTGCCTTGTCCCCAGTTTTAAACCCTTTCCTACACTGCCAAGCACCAATATTTCTTACTAAGTATGCTCAAAACAGCATCACTGTCAGCTGCTAATATTTCCCTCCATGGCAGTGCTTGGGACACAGTGATGTTGCTCCTGGGGGCTGGTGGCCCGAGCTGTGGGGACAGCATCCACACAGTTCTGCCAGGCCAATGTGCACAGCAGGTGGAAATTTATCTGTCATTTCTGGGGTCAGATGGAATTAAACATTCTGTGGCACTTTGCCATTGTCAGCGGTCTGCTGGGTATATGTATCCGGACCTGTGTGTGTTTTCTTTCCTCTGACCAACTTGGAAATCTGGTGGCTTCGGTCATCTTTGGCAGATCCCAAAGACAGTTCCCCAAAACACCAATTTTCCCCAAATTTCTTGAAAATAGGGTGGCTAGAGGAGTTTCTCAATTAAATGAAACCTGACTTTAACAGACACACACACGCACACAAAACAACAACCAAAACAAAAAAACAACAAACCAACCATCCAACCAAAACCAAAACAAACAAACAAACAAACAAACAAAAAAAAAAAAACCAGTGTATAAGGCCTAGTTTCTAAAAGAGGATCAGTTTTGAATCTCCTGTGGGAAACAAATCCATAGAAAGTCAGGCTTCATTATTTTGCTCTTTCTTATTGTACTCCTGACATCTCTTGAACAATGAAGTACTGGGTAGGACTTGAGTTTTAGCTGAAAATTTAATGTGGCATTATTATTCAGAAGATTATTTTTGCCGTTCTGTGCATGTTTCCATGCTCTCTCATTACATCATGTGTCCTGGATGACCCCATGCTTCAGAAATCCAGCTTTCTCAAGGCTGATGCGTAATGAATCTTTCACACTCAGTGACAAAATATGTTGCGTTAACTTGTCAAGGCATTCCGTTTGCTTCATTTTAAACTATATATTATGCTATAATTTACTGCTGTTCTGCTCTTTATTCATGCACAGACAGCTCACATGCATTTTGCATCCTATTTATAGATTTATTGATAACACTATTCCAGCAGCATGCTAGATAAGTACAGCTGAATATAATTTGAGTAAATATTAGATGCTTTTAAAACTCTAAGATTTACATCCTCCTTCTGTTTCATCACGTAATTTGTCATCAGGGCAACAGATTTTTCTAATAATGAGAAATTTCATATTTTTTCGAATAAAGAAAATGTCAATATTTGCCTTCATCATCACTTCACATCTCATAGGAAAATGTGGAAAGCATGTATATTACTGAACTATATAATCCAAAGTTTGGGTGAAAATGGACAGACAACTTTAGCAAAAAATGTATAAATGGAGATATTATCACCTGTTTGTGAAGTACAAATATTTAATTAATTAAAGTAATTAAAGTAAAGCAATATTTCAGAGAAATATATAAATTTAATCATCAATAAAATGCTATATTGAAAGAAATAACAATCTGCTTAGACTAATTCATCATTCAAATCTAGCAATGCTATATCTAAATAAATAAATTATGACAGATATTTCAGATACTGTCCTAGAACTTTGTGGATTATCATTTTAGATTTACCAGTTTGGCTACCAGTACCTAGTAAATGCAGTCTTCTTGTTCATGAGAGTATAAAAAGCTCTTAAAACCTGAATTATACTCTTCCAACTTTCTCATGTCATCTAAATACAAGAAAAAAGGTGAAATCCAGTTTCCATTTTACAAATTTCACATTTAGATCTCTGCATCATATTGGCATCACTTAGTGAATAGGAACTCAGAACTGAGGGAACATTTTATAATTGTTCTTTGTTTTGACAGCGATCCCACAACAGAGAACAAGCAGTAAGGGCAGGTTTCACATTTAGAATGAAATTGAAGACAATGGCATGATTCATTGGAAATGAGACTTCATATAGAATTGTTTCTTCGGTACAATTTTACTTCCTGCTGAGGTAATCTCTGTTAACAGTTTTCCTATGTTATTCAGTTCTGTTCTATTCATGGGTTTCTTTTTAACATCTTTCTCTCTCTCTTTCTCTCTCTTTTCATACAGAATGAGGGGAATAGTCATTCTTTAGCCATCTGTCTGCTATTTTTCCTCGTCACCTCCTAAAAGTCATGAAAATGTTATTTAGTAACTAAATGATACACATAGGTAGATACCGGCTCCTTTGTAATTTGCCACCATTGAGCATATCTTGCTATTTATCACCACAGGAAATATCAAAGCAGCACCAGAAAGATTTTGAGACTGATTTCATATGATCATTTTTTGTTCTTGTCAATAGAAAAAGCAGCCAGCTTCATGTAAGAATACATAAGCCTTTACATCCAGTCTTTTTTGACTATACAGACTGAAAGCTTAATACCAGAATGAATTTATTCTGAGCAGTCAGATCCTCAGAACAGTGCAAGCTACTTGAAGGCTCTGCTGTGACTTTCTAGCATGGTACCCGCCTACCTGAGCCATTGTTCACCCCCATATCATACTGCCACCACTGTGATCAGCAGAACTGATATTTGTACTTGTATGAAAGGGAAAGGCTGCAGGGAGAGATTTTCTATGAAAGGACACTTTTCCTCTGGAATACATTTTGTAAAGTCCTAAGGCACTACAAAGTTGCTGGCTTTCAAATGTGCTTCAGTTCAAACCATTTCAGAAGGAATTGATAGGTGAGAAAAGTGATTTCCTTAATATTTTAAAGACACATCCCTGTTGCTCAGAATTTGTGTTATATTTATTAATTTATTTGTTTGTTTATTCAGAGCTAGATGCCTCCTACAGCTTTTTAAGTCAGGCATGATGAAAACTGAACTACAAAAATACTCTAGAAAAAAAATCTCTCCTGGCATTTCTAGAATTTCCACAATCTTTGTGTCTGACCTTGGATGAGTCATTTATCTTCTCCACACTGCTTTTGAGCAAAATGAGTTGTCTTCCCTCATTCTGACACTAAGACTGCTGAAGTAAATCCTCCAGGTGTGTCTCCAGGTTACCACCCGTAGCACCTTCCCCTGCAGGTACTTATTAATTCCTCTGGGTCTGCCCCAACAGATTTGCTGACTGAAAGCTGTTTGCTGAGTTTTCATATAACTCCTGTCTTTTAGTTTGTAAGATCAGTGTCCTTTTTAGTCAGTGCTCACTGGTGAAACTCATTAATAACAATCTACACAGTTTGTTTGAGCTAACCCAGCCTATTTTAATTGAAAGAAATTAGGAAGTAATGGCCCTGCAAGTTGGTATCTACACACCCCCACCACAAGAAAAAAAATAATGAGATGAAAGCGGTAATCTCTGAAGGTATATCCAGATTAGGGATGTATTCACTGAGTTTAAGCGTTAACATGTTTTAGTTCATTGGAAGGAAGGAGTGGGTACTGACAGTTATTATTTAGATAAATGATCCAAAAGACAAGCATAAAAAAGACAGATATGATGGGTGAAAGCAGAAACCCATTTCCCCAATCCATTAACATTTTTAGTTTTAAACTATAAGGAGATTATCCAATACGTGACACAGGGATAACTGAAGGAATGTAATCAAATGACTTTCTTGTTATTAAAAGGAAGATGTAGGTTGCAACTAAATGGACTTTTAAATTAGTGCTTTGTGCACATCACAGTTCAAAAATACACAATTATAAACCAGGATAACATCATTGATCAAACTCCCACATTATAGCACTTTGCATTTCCTATATGAAATTCATATAATCAATGTTTCTGTGCCAAGGAACCTAAGTCTCCATGGAAGACTTAATTCTATGCTGAAAGTTGACCTTACAAGTTGACCTTGTTCTTATAAGAACACTTATATGGTCAGTGGCTCTATGGAGGCTGGTGGAGGCTGGTGACAAGTCATGTCCCTCAGGGGTCTGTCAGACAATGACAGGAAAAGGGGGAATGTTTTTTAGCTAGGAGAAGGGAGATTTAGGTTAGAGGTTAGGAGGAAATTCTTCACTTGACAGGTGGTGAGGCCCTGGCACAGGTTGCCCAGAGAAGCTGTGGATGCCCCATCCCTGGAGGTGTTCAAGACCAAGATAGATGAGGCCTTGAGCAACCTCATCTAGTAGGTGGCATCCCTGAACATGGCAGGGGGGTTGGATCTTTCCAATCTGAGCCATTCTATGACTCTGTGACACTGTCATTTATAAGGCAATTTTCATCAGAAAAGAGGTAAATATAAAACAAGGGACATTTTTTTTGTTGTTGTTGTTAATTGCTTAGCTGCAACATATCAGTTGCAATTCTCTTCTCTGAAGATCACTCTGTGTTTTATTTGCATTGTTTCTTTGATTCTACTGAGACAACTTTAAAAAATAATGCTTGGAAGTAGGAATGATACTCACGAATATATACTTATGAATGCATGAATTCAACAAAGAAATCCCCTAAAATTGACAGTTACCATTACTTTGTTAAAAATCACCCTTTACCTATTTGTTTACCTATAAAAACTGAAAATACTGGCAAGAATAAGTATCAGTTTACTCACAGGAGCAATTGCATCAATAATAATGTGCAGTGTTACTGTTCATCCTACTGCTTACACTGTCTTTTTAACATATAAGTTAATTGTTTTCAGGGACAATTAATTTCCAGCAGCTTTTTCTAGCTCAGTGGTTGTTCTTAGCTATTAGCAAACTCTTACTCTGTTATTCCTGAGGCTTTGTTAAGCACACAAAATATAATATGTATTGGAGTCAAGGTACAATGAAACACTTGGAAGTTTATCCAAGATGCCAGC